ATAAAGGACTGTGGAATTCTAGTACATGAAGAATCAGGATCATATCCAGATCTGTTAATAGGAATGAATGTCTTGAAACATTTGCCAACGTTTCAATCCACACCAAATGACACAGAAGAAAGGACACATCTTATACGTGTGAAAGGACAGGTGTTTATCCCAGCCTCAACAACTGTTGATGTAGATGTTTCTACAGGTTCTTTTAGAGGACAAGGTTTAGTCGAACCATTGGATAGAGTCTTACCTGGAAATGTCCAAGTTATGAATGGATACATAGATGCAACATCTGGAAGTGCTACAATACGTGTCTTAAATGCTTCGGAAACGAGTGTAATACTTACCAAAAGAACTCCAATAGGACAATTACATTCTGCAACAGTAAACTGTTGTAAAGTTTCATACAGTATACAGGACAATACAGTAGAAATAGCTACAAACGAGAATTTGAAATCAAAACCAATTGAGAATGATGAAGAAGAGCCAACAGTCCCACAGCATGTTATCCAAGAAGTAAACAGACTGTTAGAAGATTTCCCTGGAACAGAAGATGAACGCAAGAAGACTGCAAAGTTATTTTACAAATACCACAAAATCTTTGGATCAGACGAAAATGATTTGGGGTATACTGATGCGATTGAACACAAAATACCTACACCAGACGATTTTGCTGTGAATGAACCTTTCCGTAGAGTGCCTCCTGCAGTTTTTCAAGAACTTCGAGAACATATTGACACACTAATACAGAAAAAGATCATTCGCCCAAGTAGTAGTAACTTCGCTAGCCCTATTGTTCTCGTCAGAAAGAAAAATAAATCACTTAGACTATGCGTGGATTACAGACAGCTGAATCACAACACAAAGAAGGATGTCTTCCCACTCCCTCGTATACAGGAAAGTATGGATGCACTGCTGAATGCAAAGTGGTTCTGCTCATTGGACCTTCAAAGCGCTTATCACCAGGTTAAGGTAGCTCAGGAGGATATTCACAAAACATCTTTTACCACACCTTTTGGCACTTTTGAGTACTTACGCATGCCATTCGGCCTCTGCAACGCACCTGCGACTTACCAAAGATTAATGACCATGGCATTTAAAGATGAGATTTTCAAAACCTTACTCGTCTATCTCGATGATTTATTAGTATACTCTTCTACCATCGAAGAAATGATTCATAGACTAGAGAATGTCTTTTCAATTTTACACAGCTACAACTTGAAGCTTGAATTGAAAAAGTGTTACTTCTTTAAAGAGACTGTAACATACCTTGGTCACCAGATATCGAAAGAAGGAATAAAGCCTGATCCTGAAAAGATTAAGGTGATAGTGAACTGGAAACAGCCGAAGACCCTGAAGGATCTCAGAAGATTTCTTGGAATGGCAGGATACCACAGACGTTTTGTGAAGAACTATGCAGCTACTGCCCAACCATTACACAACCTTGTTACAAAAGTCACAAAAAGAACAAAAAAGAAGACCGAGAATATTGAAAAGCTATGGACAGAAGATTGTACACAAGCACAAGCTACACTTAAAGAAAAACTGTCTACAGCACCAGTCCTTGCTTTCGCAGACTACAACAAGCCTTTTGTATTAGAGATAGATGCATCATCATCAGGACTCGGATGTGAACTTCTTCAAGAACAAGAAGGAAAGATGAGAGTCATTGGATATGGCAGCCGATCGCTGAGAGGAGGCGAGAAAAACATGAATAACTACTCTTCCAAAAAATTGGAGCTGTTAGCACTTAAATGGTCTGTTACAGAAAAGTTCAGAGATTTTCTACTTGGATCAAAATTCACAATTTTCACAGACAATAACCCATTGACTTATATCATGCGAAAGAAGAAACTACCAGCATTAGAGCAACGTTGGGTGTCTGACTTAGCATGCTTCAACTTTGAGATAAAGTACAAGCCAGGAATAAAGAACACTGCAGCAGATGCACTCTCCAGACTAGAACACAGTTCAGATGATGAAGATGAGGATGATGACTTCGAAGTCAGTGCTATGAGTGTTATCGCAGAGATCACAAACACTACACACCTTCCAGATCTGTCTACAGAAATTAACCAGAAGGAAGTAAATGTTCTGACAGTAGAAAGTGATATAACTCCAACAGAAACAACTGTCTTCCCAACTATTACAAAGGAAGGTCTAGCCACATTACAAGACAATGATCAAGATATCAGTCTCATCAAAGAAATCATAAAACATAACATTATTCCAACACCTAAGATACTGAAAAAGATGACAAAACATCAAAGAAAATGGGAGAAACAAAGACATAAACTCCGACTAGTTGATAACATATTGTATAGGAAGGTGAAGTCAAATGATAAAGATGTGAATCAAGTTGCTATTCCAACTGTTCTAAAAGAAGAAGTTCTAAAAGCGGGACATGACTTTGCAGGACACCAAGGTGTTGAAAGAACTGATAAACTGATTAGTGATAGATACTTTTGGCCAGGAATGAAACAAGACATATGTGAATATATCAAGACATGTAATCGATGTGTATATGGCAAGATGCCCTTTCACAAAATCATTACTCCCATGGGACGATTAACTGCAAAATCACCACTAGACCTAGTCTGTATTGATTTTACACTTTTGGAAAAAGCTACCAACGGAATGGAAAACGTTTTGATCATAACTGACGTCTTTACAAAGTTTACAATTGCCAAAGAAACTAAGGACCAAACAGCTGAAACAGTGTCAAAAGTTCTTGTGAAAGATCTGTTTTTAGTTTATGGTATTCCCAAACGACTACACAGCGACCAGGGAAGGAACTTTGAAAGCAAGATAGTAGACTGTCTGTGTAAAACATACAATGTTCAGAAGTCACGAACCACACCGTACCATCCCCAAGGAAATGGTCAGTGCGAACGGTTCAACAGAACCCTCCACAATCTACTGCTGTCACTAGAAGCAAAGAAGAAGAACAAATGGCCAGAATACCTGAAGGAGTTGGTGTATTCTTACAACATAACCCCACATAGCTCCACGGGTTATTCACCGTTTTACATGATGTTTGGCCGAGAAGCATTACTACCACTATCTTTAGTGCTTGATTCAGAGAATGACGATGAAGATTCTGAAGGAAATAAAGCAGATAACTGGGTAACCAAACAAAAGCAGACGTTCAAAGAAGCTTATGCTCATGCAGAAGAAAATATGAATCAAAATGCTGATAGAAGGAAAGAAAGACATGACAAGAAACCAACAATCATTGAAGATAAAATAGATGTTGGAAGAAAAGTCTTAACAAGAAGGAGAACACTTGGAAGAAACAAAATACAAGACTATTATGAAGATTCTGTATACAAAGTAATTGAAAGGAAAGGAGACACATATACAATTGAGAATGAAGACTCACTGAGGAAAACTGTAAATAGAGAAGATTTGAAAGAGTTGCCAGAAGGGATCAGAAACAAAAAGCTCCTTAATGAGGATACAGCTGAAGAAGTGCCTCAACTGAGAAGGTCTAAGAGACTTTTAGATCAACAGAAGTAAATTGAGATTTCACTCTGATTTCTGCGCGTTACTGTAGTTAAGATAGTAGCTACAATTTAAAACATTTTTCAAAATCATGACTGTAGTGGGATCTATAATTTTATAAACGACCTATTTTTTGGTCGTGGTTGTTAATTAGGGGAGGAAATACCAATCTAATAGCGTTTAGAGAATTATTCATCTTATAGACAGATATTTTGAATCATTTGATTATTTTAACTTATGTTTGATGTTTGTATTAAATTTTCTTATTCATTTAAGATATTGTACATTTATTATATCAGTTTACTGTGGCCGTGTTTAAGGTTCATTTTATTGAAATGAAGACGAGTCCGCGTGGATGTGACATGCACTTTTATAAATACTTTTAAATATTGTTGGTACAACTGATTATTCCTACCCAATGTATACTACTTCTCAACACAGCACATACTGAGACTGTAATGATATGCCACCTTTAAAAAGGTTTAGTAACTACTGTATCACATGATCTAGGTCACATGATCATATACTTTAGTGTTGGGCCTGCTTTTGAATCTTCTGGATGTGGTTAGTTCCCTAGCTGACTTACTTTACCATATGCCCACACTCACAGCCCAAGTAGCTTTATTGTCAGGCATTCCACCAACAGTTCTGCACTGGCAGACTGGTCACTCTTTTGTAATGTTTTACATTTCATGGATTAAGGTAGTTCCACACTTTCATGGATTAAGGTAGTTCCACACTTTCATGGATTAAGGTAGTTCTACACTTTCATGGATTAAGGTAGTTGTCACTCTTTTGTGATTTATCTTTTAAGGTAGTTGTACAACAACAGCAGTTGTGTTAAGGTAGTTGTGCAACATATACATGATCAATACATGATCAATAAGGAAGTTGACTGATATAATACATGATATAATATAAAATATTTTATAAATTTCTCTTGTTTATTTATTTTGGACAAAACGTCCCTCACACTCATATAATGACGTAATTGGGGAATACCTTTTGAAAAATTGGTTTCGATCTCGATTTGGATTATCACGTGACCATAACACACATAGGTTTTCAAGACTGTGACGTTTGCAGTCCAGTGATTAGAAGTCCATGATGCAATTGACAATTGCGTACTTCCGTATCACGTTCTCATTGGTTATTGTGTATGCCATATTCCGAAGGTGAATCTGTCATACACCGCAAGTGAATATGCCATATTCGTTGCGGAATATGACATATTTTTGTATCGTGTTTACCGCGTAACAACCAGTGCGCATGTAAAGAGGTTCCTGTCTTGTTGCTATTTTGCTCGTGAAGTGTGACGTCAATCACGTCATATCAATAACCATATCAACCGCACTGTGTCCAGAAAATACATTGTTGAGTCATTCGTCTTAATTTGGTTACGTCATAGATACAATCTGTTTGTTTCTTAGCAATTTCATGAATTTTCCTGTATCTACATAAAATTGTACATACTCGAGGCGATTGGAAGTTCACAAAATATCATGTTTCGAGCGAGTAGATCGTTTCTTCTCATGCGGAGAGATGAACAGAGACGAATAATTACAAGGTAATGACAAATTTCACATTATTATTCGGTACTGGACATGTTAGTGGCAAAATAAAGCTTTTTCAGTCGATTACATCCAAGAATTTATACACTACGTTTTTACACTGTTGGTTTTCGCAATGTTGCCATTTTACATTGCACAGAATTGGTCGAATAGCCGATAGATGTCATTCATTGATTAAACATGACGTCATATTTGAGATCTTAAGATAAATATGACGTCATGACGTCAGTGCCATAGAAACTGAGATTGTCTTATTTTATTTTGACGTCATTCCAATGTAATGAACCAGTTATATCACCAAAAGTTATCATATTTTGTTTGAAATTGGCCGAAAAGTTAAAGGTATGAGGATTCTAATCTCAACGGAATCAAACAGATCTACCTTCAAAGTTACAGAAACCTGAGATGACTAAGATACCATATGATTTTAAGTACCTCTACCAGACCGTTGAATATCCTCATTTCACCATTTTGACGCCATTTCTAATGGATTTCAATGGAGTCATGCATGAATTCCTCATGATTTTTTCAAAACAAATTGGCCGAAAAGTGTGCTTGTGTACATTGCTTAAAACATGTTAAATCAGTAAAGGTTGATGTCTAGTTATAGAAACCTGAGATGACTAAGGTGGCAAATCAATATAATTCGCACAGTAAGCTTTCGAAAAATGTCTCCATTATAAATCCCATAGGCTTTGGAAAACCGGAAGTAATGGTTCTGCGCATGCGCATTGAAATATTGGACAAATTTTGTGCAATGAACGCTTCTATTTGCTAGTGTTTCTGTCCTCCGAACTCATGTTTATTGAAGGGACATTAGTTTCCTGATGAAATACTTGGAACATGGGGCAAAACGGCCCTCTGGGGCAAAGTGGCCCATCGAAATATATTTTGAACTATAAAAAGATGGTTCTTCAAAAGTCACATAATCGAATTTTTAAATTTCTGCCACCTTCTCGACCGCCCATTTTTAACCAAGCAGCGTCTCGCTTTACGTAAGAGCTAATTCTACTTTTCACCCTCTTTTTTTTGTAAATACCCCTCCCACGAGAATCTCTAAAAAATCCGACAACAATAGAATATCGTTTTGATTTAACATTTTACATAGAGTCTGCACATTTATTCTTTATTTGTAAAACTTTCGAGCTTCAAATATTAGGCAAATTCGTCTATTTGAAAATTCACATGTCTTTGGGTCAAAACGGCCCACACATGACATAACATACAAAAATTTATTGTGCAAGAACAATTGGTTTTCAAATATAACGATTTTAACGTTTGGCTTGTACCTTATTTCCTTCCGACACATATCGAATGACTAGAATTATGGTAGGGGTTAAGAATACTTTATCTGTCAAAGGTTTGAACGTCTAAGATAATATGTGTGTGGACACATAGGACACACAGTCTTGTAATTGATTAATTTTGGTTTTAAAACCCATGTAACAGAGGGTGGGCTGTTTTGCCCCACCCATGGGCCGTTTTGCCCCACTCTCGACAATATTTTTGACCATTGAAAAACACAGAAGATAGTCCTTGGAAAGTATAGAACATTCGAAAAATGTAAACCATAAACAATTGATAAAGTGGAACATCAAAGTGCGCGATGATTGACAGATAACATTTACAATTTTTGTTTTCCATTAACATATTTACATAAAATCACATTTGCATAAGCATATTACGCTTTGCATACATTAGGAATACAGCTTTGGCTTTTAAAATCATTGCTTCATCATTATCTGATTTGAAAGTTTGAAATATAATGTCATCCCAATTCTAAATAAATTGAGAAGTGCAACTCTTTCCGCATCTATGGAATTGGAGAAACGTAAAAAGTGAAAATTGATTAAACGATTGTGTGGTCATGCAAAGCCATGGGGCAAGAATGGCCCCTGTGGAGCTAAAAGGGCCGTTCTACTTTGAATCATAGGATTTTACTACACTGGACGGGACTTACAGAAGTGGGACAAGAAAGGCCACTATGGTTGTGTGACACGTAGACTACATTTTTTCTATCAATATTTCATAGTTACATAAATAACTGCAAGTTTGGATGGTCTCCCCTATTGAAAAGAACATTATCGGCGACTGAAATAACCAAATCATTTTTTGGATCTTTTTTTGTCCGTATCAATCTGTCCGCTGCTTGTCTCAGATCAATAGTTATGTTAATAAGTGAAGTGGTAGCCATGGTATTGTTGCCCCATTCGAGGTTGTTCAGGGAAGAATATAAAATCATATAATAGCATTCATTTGCCCCGGGGGGTTCACTCCAATATACCCAGTCTTAATACCTACAGACCCCATATTTGAGCATTTTTTCCATGTCAATTTACTCTCAAAATTGAAGGTTTTCATGTTGTATTCCTCTCAGACAATAAAATACCACTTTCCAGTGATTTGTCCCAGGTCGTGGCAACTGATTTAACCGATTTATAACCATTTTGTATAAAAACTGAACTTTTGATCTAAGAAGGTACTTTTTAGGAGGTTTCTTTATGTTTTTTCCCCTCAGATTGGCCAGTTTCCATGGTTTATGGCCAAAGCCAAAATTGGCTGTGCTTCACATATAACCTACCCAAATTTTTTTTTTCAGAATACATTTGTTATATCTGCGGCTAAAGCTGCCGACAATTGGCCCATATCTGGTGCCTATTATAAACAGTTTCATAGAGAAAACTTAACCGTGGGGCCTTTTGTACCGAGCGATTCTTCCATGTGTTTCTGAAACGGAATTGTCGAAGTTACGGAATAATCTAATGTCACTGTATCAAGGATCAAACTCTCCAAAATATGGTTTTCTACAAATTGACGTGCTTTCAAGAACATTTTAAAAGTCTAAATCGTAAATGAAATTAAATGTAGCGACGAACTAATACTAGGGACACATCTGCGTATAACTGTGGATGTTTCTATCGGTGCCAAAGACGTACGCGTGTTATTTCAAAATATCAAATTAATATGATAAATACCCCAAATGTTTGACCAATAACACGTCGTACACTTTCGGTTAGAATATGATGTGTTGAGACTGGACAGCCGCTAAAAACGAAGTTTATCAAGGTAAAACATCTCAAAATTGGACCCCGTTGACTTTACATGTTCACACAACACCCAATGCAGACAGATCGCCTAGAATTACACATATATCACATATCGAATATTTCAAAACACCCCCTTGTGTATTACAAAACTACGTTTTTGTGGCAGATTTCGAATTTGTGTGTATTCATGCTAAGCTATTGGACAGCCGAGCAACAAGAATGCTATTGTAGGTGGAGTATATGTTTGTTGATCACCGAATGGGACATACCTGCTCTTGTGTAATTTATACAAAGCAATGATTTACCCCAAATTTTAAAATCCCCCAATTAAGTTTGGATTTACCGCAGTCATAGTTCGCGGCTTTGCCATCGTTTTGATTCTCCACCGTGTACGGTATAACGCGGAGGTCAATTTACCTGAAATACGGTATTTCGCAAATTCAAATTCCTCGTGATGTACCCCTAACAATGAAATTCTCTGTCAAGTTCACTGTCTATGATGTTATTATAGACTTTTACATATAAAAATATCTAGAAACTAGATCACATCATTCTGAAACGATGAAAACATCAGTTTGCTCAAATTCCATCATTGTGTTGTACCTTACCCTGCGTGTTCAACTGTCACGCTTAATTTGGTACACCATGGACTTCTAATCACGTTATTTGAAGTCCATGGGTACACATACTATGTCATTTTGATACTCATAGCATCTTTCTCTTAATGGGGAGAATTATATTCATTCAAAACTCAAAACTACCCTGAGAATCGAGGATAAGATTTTGATCAGGAATCAAAAACGTAACAATCAGCGTTATGTCTCTCTGTATCGTATACATCTAGAAATGTTCAGAAAACAAAGTGTAAATCATTAACCATGCGGTTTACTATTTCTACGGCTAATAACAATTCTACGACTGCTTTGGAAATTCTACAACCAGATACTTTAAATCCCAGTTACATTTGCTACGGCAACCATACGGTCTATCATTTCTACGGCCAATAGCAATTCTACGGATGTCGTGGAAATTCAACGATCAGAAAATTCAGCAGTCACATTTACTCCTGTAGCCATAGAGCTTCTTTTGCATGCATTTCCAATATGTTGTCGAGCGAAACGCGTTTACTTTCCCTCGTTGTTTAATTCGATGAAAACGAAAGCTATCGAAACCGACATTTATCGTCCTCCATCTTGAATGTGAAGGAAATTGCCCTCCTGGAAATTGCCGTTACGATTTATTATCAGTACCAGTGCAAATGCAAAGCCCATGCTGCTGCAGAACTTTTGTTGTTATTATGTTCGTGAAGTGTGACGTCAATTACGTAATATCAATTACCCTATCAACCGCACTATTTCCAGAAAGTACATTGTTTAGTCATTCCTCTCATTTGATTACGTCATAGATACAATCTCTTTGTTTCTTAGCAATTTCATAAATTTTCCTTTATACATAAAATCATTTGCACGAGGCGATTGGATTTTCTCAAGAAATCATGTTTCGAGCGAGTAGATCGTTTCTTCTCATGCGGAGAGATGAGCAGAGACGAATAATTACAAGGTAATGACAAATTCCATATTCTTCTTTGGTACTGGACGTGTAAGCAGCAGATTAATAAAGCTTTTTCAGGCTTCCTATGCCTTTGATTCTGTCCTCTGAACTTATGTTTGTGGAAACAAGCTTAAGGGACATTGGGTTGTGAAATACTGTAGTATGAACTTAAAAATAATTTTTTGAATAGCAAATGTACTTCACACTATTGAAAATGATTAAAAACAGTGTTTTGCTGAGAAATACTGTGGCATTAACTTTGAAATAAATTTCTGAACAACAAATGTTCTTAGCCATAAAATTCGTAGATTTTTATCACAGACTTGCATAAAGTGGGACAAGAAAGAAAATTTAGAAAAAACAATAGGGCGAGGGTCATATCAAATATTTGCCTTATCGTTGAATAAGAAGTTTGAAACCATTCTTTTCTAATAATAAGAGATCATACTGTGATGAACAAAATTATGTTGGGGTACTATCCTTTTTGTAAAGTAAAGGTGTAATATATATGTGTTAACCCAAGGAATTGATAATCCAGTATGTTTTCTTTTGGTTAAAAATTGCACAGTGCAAACTCATCGTTTATCGAGAACTACGGTTATTTTTCCTGGACGAATAATCACTATGAACCATAACTTAACTATTCTGCTGCGACGGACTGATTGCGCTCCACATTTTCATTAAACAAAAATGGGGAATGTCGGGTTTCTCCCCCAGACAATCAGTGATGTCCCATTTTAATTGTTCATATAACATCTAACATACTTAAGATATCGATCTCGAGAACAAACTAAGGGCACAGTATTGGTAATAAAGTCGAAATGATTTTTTTCATTTTTGAAACACAACACATCGCCGATACATTGAAAAATCAACAGAACAAAAGTATTATGGGGAAATATAACAAGAAATGTGTTGTGTTTCAAAAATGAAAAAAATCATTTCGACTTTTCTTTCAAAAATGTTCTCAAAAATATCTGAAATATCTTTTAAAGTCGTGACATATAGTAAATAAATGATTAATAAAAATACATTTTCAAAGGGGCCTTTAAATATAGATATAAATTCATTACATTTGCACAACGGCGCCGGTTGTTGCCTGAAAAATCAGTAAATTTCTGCGGCAAACATAGGAAAACTACGCTCACCGTAGAAATTAACAACCCCCATCCAGACCGTATAAAGGTCTCACAGAGGCCGTACGTCGGGCGCACGATCGACTTGCGACCGCCCTTGGATTGAGTGAGTTAATTGACCTTTTCGGACCATACGATCACAGCAAGCCCCCCCCCCCCGAGGCTGCTTCGGGTCTTCCTTGGTTTTTGTCAAGAAAATCCACGCCCATCGTATTACCGCTCTACGCTGACTGTGCGTTACCATTTATCAGTCGTACGGCAACTGTAGGTGTTATGTCTTCTCAAAATCAAAATATGCCATACGACATAGACCATACGGTCACCGTAGTAAATGTGCCTATCGTGTCCCTTTTAGAATTGATAGTTTGAATACAAAAGATGCGAAGCGTTGCAGGAAGATTATCTACCGACGCTCCATTATTAACATTAGGAGGAGAGTAAATTTTTATAAACATGTATGTATTATTTTTGTGAAAATATGTAATGGGGCCTTTTATTTGTTGGATATAAGCTAAACTAAAAAATGCTTTTTCAATGATCTACTTGCAGGTACGTTGCTTGTTTGGATAATGCGTTTTGGGAATGGCGAAACATCAGCCATGCTACACCAGATCAGGAAAGCTTCGTCACCGTCAACTGGCATAAATTCAGAAAAAAGACAATTGAAGCAAACGATTGTAAGTTAATGTCATACATTCATCAAAGATTCTTCCAAATGTATCCCCCTTCCAAGATCCCTCTCCTGAGATATGTAGGCATATTCCTCTTCCAAATCTATTTTGCATCCTACTTCCAAGATTCATAAGTTCGGATTATTTTCCAACTTTTTGTCAATGATATTAAAACGTTCATGTTTTTACTCAAGCTAGTTGATAAGATAAACAAATGACAAATACTGTAGTGCCATACATTGTATTATAAGAATAATTGTTGTCTAAATTCTTAATAATTTCATTATGTTTACAATATGGTGTCACTTCAAGCCATGGGTATAGATTTTGCAAAAAAAGAAATAATATACTAATTCACTACGTCCTGGTTATTCCTATGATCATGTTATGTTCAAAATAATGTGTGTTTTGAAAAATATATTTTGTTCGGTGGTATTTGCTAGTCTTTGGAGTTGCTGTTACAGTACTTTGATATTGAAAATGACACATAAAATTGAAACTAAGAGATACTTATTACAATTCTATGACCCTTGTATCTCTGTTTCTAGCTTGAACGTATTTCTCATTGAAGACCAATGTATCCTGGATGTAATCACGAGCATTTACCCAATTCTATTACCCCTGTATCTCTGATTCTTGCATGGAAACATCTCTCACTATTGACTCATGTATCCTGGGTATAGCCATGCACGTTTACTTAATTTTGTTACCCCCTGTATCTCTGATTCTAGCTTGAAAGTATCTCTCATTGTATACCCTTGTACATGCATATAACCATGCACGTTCGTTTACCCAATTTTGTGACCCCCTGTATCTCTGATTCTAGCATGGAAACATCTCTCACTATTGACTCATGTATCCTGGGTATAGCCATGCACGTTTACTTAATTTTGTTACCCCCTGTATCTCTGATTCTAGCTTGAAAGTATCTCTCATTGTATACCCCTGTACATGGATATTACCATGCACGTTCGTTTGCCCAATTTTGTTACCCCTGTATCTCTGATTCTAGCATGGAAGTATCTCTCACTATTTACTCATGTATCCTGGATATAACCATGCACGTTTACTTAATTTTGTTACCCCCTGTATCTCCGATTCTAGCTTAAAAGTATCTGTCATTGTATACCCCTGTACATGCATATAACCAAGCACGTTCATTTACCCAATTTTGTTACCCCCTGTATCTCTGATTCTAGCATGGAAATATCTCTCACTATTGACTCATGTATCCTGGGTATAACGATGCACGTTTACCTAATTTTGTAACCCCTGTATCCCTGATTCTAGCTTGACAGTATCTCTCATTTTATACCCGTGTACATGGATATAACCATGCACGTTCGTTTACCCAATTTTGTTACCCCCTGTATCTCTGATTCTGATAACCATGCACGTTTACCTTATTTTGTTACCCCTTGTATCTCTGCCCGTGTACATGGATATAACCATGCACGTTCGTTTACCCAATTCTGTTACCCCCTGTATCTCTGATTCTAGCATGGAAATATCTCTCACTATTGACTCATGTATCCTGGGTATAACGATGCACGTTTACCTAATTTTGTAACCCCTGTATCCCTGATTCTAGCTTGACAGTATCTCTCATTTTATACCCGTGTACATGGATATAACCATGCACGTTCGTTTACCCAATTTTGTTACCCCCTGTATCTCTGATTCTGATAACCATGCACGTTTACCTTATTTTGTTACCCCTTGTATCTCTGATTCTAGCTTGAAAGTGTCTCTCATTGTATACCCGTGTACATGGATATAACCATGCACGTTCGTTTACCCAATTTTGTTACCCCCTGAATTTCTGATTCTAGCATGGAAATATCTCTCACTATTGACTGATGTACCCTGCATATAACCATACACGTTTACCTTATTTTGTTACCCCTTGTATCTCTGATTCTAGCTTGAAGGTAGCTCTCATTTTATACCCGTATACATGGATATAACCATGCATGTTCGTTTACCCAATTTTGTTACCCCCTGTATCTCTGATTCTGATAACCATGCACGTTTACCTTATTTGTTACCCCTTGTATCTCTGATTCTAGCTTGAAAGTATCCTTCAGTGTGTATACCCGTGTACATGGATATAACCAAGCACGTCCGTTTACCCAATTTTGTTACCCCCTGTATCTCTGTTTCTAGCATGGAAATATCTCTCACTATTGACTCAAGTATCCTGGATATAACCATGCACGTTTACCTAATTTTGTTACCCCTGTATCTCTGATTCTAGCTTGACAGTATCTCTCATTGTATACCCCTGTACATGGATATAATCATGCACGTTCGTTTGCCCAATTTTGTTACCCCTGTATCTCTGATTCTAGCATGGAAGTATCTTTCACTTTTGACCCATGTATCCTGGATATGACCATGCACGTTTAACTAACTTGCACGTATCTTTCATTGTAGACCCTTGTATCCTGGATGTAATCACGTACGATTACCCAAATTTGTTACTCCTGTAGCTCTGTTCTCATCATGAAAGTATCTCGCGTTATAGGTCCGTGTATCCTGGATAAAAACCTCGCACGTTTACCCAGTTTTGTTACCCCCGATCTCTGATCAGTCTCTTCTCATTGTAAACCTGTGTATCTTGGATATGATCATGACCACGTGTATTTACCAGATTTTGTTACCCTTGTACCTAGCTTGATCGTACCTCTTATTGTAGATCATATCCGTGTATCTGATATAACTTGAAAGAAATATAACTTTATTATATAACTTTGAAGAAAATAAAGATAAACAAACAACAAACAAACACAAGTTTGTTATCCTTGTATCTTAGATTTTAGCTTGAACGTACCTCTTATTGTAGACCCTTGTATTTTGGACATAACGACGCACGTTTACCGAATTTTGTCACCATTGTATCTCTGATTCTAGATAACGTATCTCTAATTGTCATTATAGACCAGTATATCCTGGATGTATGGATGTAATTACGAACGTTTACCCAAGTGCGTTACCCCTGTATCTCTGATTCTAGCTTGAAAGTATCTCTCTGTCGACCAGTGTATCTTGGATGTAACAACGTGCGATTACCCAATTCTTTACCCCTGAATCTCTTGTTTTAGCTAGAAAGTATCTTTCATTATAGACCCGCGTTACCTTCTTCTAAGGCCACTATTGGCTAGAGACTCGAGTAAGACCCGCGTATCCTGGATAAGTTTACCCATTTTCCTCCTGTGTCTCTTGTTCTAGCTTAAAGTATCTTTCATTGTAGACCCGTGTATCATGGATATAACCAGGTTCGTCGAACCGATGCTGATGACAGTATGTAGGACAAGGGAGGGAAAGAAATACCACTCTCTTGAGTTTATTAGGAAAATAAAGAGGTGAGTGATCCATAATAATGAAACTGCGCATGCCTACATTAAAAACACGTAAACAGATTCAAAAGGTAAAGCCTACTTGACAAGCTTACATGGAACTTACACAATTACAGAAACAAAAAAACACACTCCATGTTCACTGTTAAAAGTAAGTGAAATATGTTGTACCGGATTTTACAAATTTATATTTACAAATAATATATCAAACCGTTCTTTTTCTATGTTTTAGGATTAATGGGCAGCTGGCCAGTCTAGTTGGTGGCTATTATGTTATGGGTGAAGGTGTAAGTATATAATTCTTGAATATTTCGATTAATGTAAACCCAGAAAATCCAGAAATATGTCCTGTTGAAGAACCCTCATTTCTATTACATGGAAACTTTAGTATTGATTTTGCTCTGCTGGATTCCTGTTTTTAAAGGAAATCGCTTGTTTTTTACGTTAGGGAGGATTTCAGCAAAGGGCGATTTTCAAAAGTTATTCGAAAATATTTTCAAAAGAAATGTCTACACGGTATACGCAATTATTTTACATATGATACATCATTTAGAATCTTATTATATCAGAAAAATAACCAAAATTAACCAATAAATGACCATATTATGTTTTTCTCGTAAAATGTGTGCACCCGCCAGGACATCGGTCGATCTACAGGCCTCTAGATTTATACTAAATTCTTGTATGACCCAGAATGACTGTTCCACATGGCGTGAATGCAAGATTTGAAAACGAAATACTTCGATAGACAGGCCCTTCCAGGAGAATAATGTTTTCATGCAATAAAAATCACAAAAAGAAGATCCTCTTTTGAGTAAATAGGTTTAATATTTAGAAAAAATGCTGACATGGGGTCCCTATTCATAATTTTTCAAATTGTTTGATTGGTATTTTTACTATCATTGGTACTTCAATTGAAAGAAAAAATATTGTTTTAATAAAAACACTGTATTTATGCCCAGAAAGTACTCATGGTGAAAGATATGACCGTCTAAAATCACTTGCCATACTGCACGTGGTCTTTTCATCAAAGTGCACCCTGACCTTAATTCATTTTTAGATCTTTCATATAAACAAATACTATGTCTAACCTAGGATGAAGAAAAGTTCATCCTAGGTCTAACTGTCAATCCGATGCTATTAGCAAAATTCCATATTTCTGCATCTTTCTTTTGTCTGTTCTCGTAAAGAGAATTTGTTTGGTCATAAAAATATGACCTATCTTCAAAGAACTTTTTCTTCTATTTCAAGTGGAGTACCCTCTTCCCTTGACACATCTAAATCTTCATCATCCACCAGCTCACTAGCATTGTTATTGTCTTTTTCCACTTGCTTCCCAAGGCCTTCCTCATATATGGCCCATTGGCCTTATCTCTATCCTTAGCCCTTGGCATATTAACTGTGATTGAGACAGTGAACTTTCGCATTGAAATTGTGACCCCTGTAATGGTATATGCATGAGTGAATATACGCATAAAAATGTATCACTCTATTCAATGTGTATGGCAGACATACACGATTAATGTCAATATAAGAACGACTAGATCAACCCACCCACCCAGCCATTCAAATGTGTTTCATTGTTTTACAGTAAGTCTAATCGTTCCATTTGTTTTATAAAAAATCTCTGACATTGTGTAGTAATTATAATTCCTTATCTCATTATTTTTAAAACCTTATATCACTTTATAAGTAATCATTATTAAGATTTATCAAACAAATCAGCACGCAAAATCCCAAGATGACCGTGCGATGCCACCGGGCGCCGTAAGATAATCGTACGATGACTATGACGCGGTATCGCCGCCAGAACCGCGCGAACAATCGCGCGAATAATTCATGTTTTCCGCCCGAATGTTTTTTATTCCCGCGATTGATTTTAACCAATAGAAATCGCGCGTCTGCATTAGTATCCACCCGGAAAATTGTGTTACCGTCGCCCGATGATACCCAACCAATGGGGTAGCCCAAAAATGCGGCCTGCTATTGTTAAGTTCGCCTGTGTCATACCAACAAATGAAAACCATCGTCACAACTCGACAAGAGGTTCACCACATATTATATCCAGCCCTCAAAGAAAGTACATGCAATTTTTTATGATAACTGAAGTTTATATCGTCATATGTTGTTAAAAAAATGATTATTACTCATTTGAAATACAAATATACTATCATATATAAGTGTTAAGTGTTATTCCTCCATTTGGTTTACTATACTGGTTTAAGTCACTTAATTTTCAATGCAAATAAGCAGATGAGTTAATGATAACAAATTTGATAGGAATTCTTTCTCATCGTGGACGTGGAGAAATAAATCATTATTTCATCAAGAATTTTACTTAAACTCATTTTTGCATGCCATATAATACTATATTACACTTATATTTCACATCTAATTTTCGCGTTTTCGCGAGGTATACAGTAATCAGTAATTGTGAAAGTAATATAAATACGTCAGACTAATTTTTAGGCAACAGATAGTAGAACGCACACTGACGCAGTGTTTAATTGGTTTTGCCCTTTCGCTTTTCTAAATCGGCTCATGATTCGTTGTCTCAGTCGTAACTTAATGTAAAGATAAACATTTAAAAGTTTTTTCAGTTCAAGAGATATAAAAGAAAAATTGACAGAATTTGATATTATTAAATTTTGTTTATTGTTCTTTTAATGTTAGACATAATTCTGTTTATGTTGTTTTGGTTTTAATTTTTGCAAGGGATGAGTTGAGCGGGGGTCATTAATGCATCATTAGAAACTTTCCTCGAATTAACCTAAGAAATTTCAAGTTTAGTACCCCGAGCACAAGGGCTTGAGAAAATTTATTCAATTATTTCAATTGTGTTATTAATGGGATAAAGGTAGATTAAAATCATATTTAATTCTTTTGCCATTTGACTTCAAAATTGTTGTCTACCATAATCTAAAATTCCCGTCCATAGTCTCTGCAAAAAGTGGTATAAACCTGGAACAATATCCAGTGGATATTAGTATCCTGATTGCAAACCCATGCGTATGATTAATTACAATGTTTAACATTTACAAAACTAAATTCACCTAACTAATTTTAAACCACATGATTGTATTTTAAAATGTTGGTAATATTTCCGAATAAATAGTTGAGCAAATGGAGAAAGTCAAAACCAAATAACACGACTAATGAATATTGGTTAACTACGTATTTTATTAAAGATTTTGTGATGGGTACTATGAATAGGCAGACTTGTAAATACATGTACCATTATTTATCTCTAAACTGCCGTTTTCAACGGTTCTAGCTGCATTATGAACTGTTCGCCGAACTCATCTAATAAACTGCTTCAATTCGGCACCCCTACCAGCAATTAGATCAACGAATAAGAAGATTTAGTGGTTGAATCGAATATTTCGGACTTCTAATCAAAATGGTGGCATTCTTTTGAAAACATGGTTTTGAATGGTTAATTTAAGTCGGGCGAAGTTGAAACTTGAGAAACAATCGCGCGAATAAATTATCGCTTTCTATTGGTTGATTATGATCGCGCAACTGTAAAATTGTCGCGCGACTAATGAAATAGTCGCGCGATCATTCGCGCGGTTCTGGCGGCGATACCGCGTCATAGATGACCGGACGGGACACGGCCGGGTAGGTACCGATGAGTTTGGTTGAGAAAAAATCGCCAAGACATCGGCAACTTTTATCTCCGCGATAAAACTCTGCCGGCGCCCGTACGATGTCTAAAAATCGGCCGATGAGTGGCGATCATCGCCCGGCGCCCGTACGATGCCCGGGCTCGCCGGCCGATTTTGAACAAAATACTCATCGGCCGGGCGCCGTAATAAAAATCGGAGCCTATGTGACCAAGGCATAAAGAGAGCATATCATAGTGAATTTTTGAATTTGACTTTTGATAGGAGTTTTGCTCATAAAAGGACCCCTGTTTAACTCCGCCACAACTTACTAAAACTCCAAGGGATTTTGTTTTTGTAAAAACAAATCAAGGACTGTCTGTATCACTATTTCAAAGTATTGAAGACAGGGGTTCTGCAAAAGGACATAAAACCTTAACGTGGTTGACCTAGTACAAATATAGAGCTATCTTCCGTGGGGTTAAGATGAGTTAGTTTAGTTTAGTTTAAAATATTTTATTTCTGTGTCACAGGTTTAAAAACTACATTCAATATCATATAATAAATACTTTTTTTAAAAAACCCACCAGCCGGCATCGGCTTAGGAGACACCATTAAATGTATATCTAATTGTAATTGAATATTGACTAGAGTAAGTTGACTTAATAGAGCACTTTTAGATAGAGTAGTATTCAATGCTGCCATCTTTAAATGCTTTGACAAATATTTTCTATTAATGGCCATTATCACAATAAATGAATATGCATGCATAAATAAACTGTATTGATACAATAGTTAGTTAGTCAACAGATATCAATCCAATTATAGGCCATCGTACAAATTATTGTCTGATAATTAACCCTCAACTTTTTCTTGGAATGTGAACTATCATCACGTGACAATTTTGCCAATATTTTTACTGCATGCTCAGTTCATGCAGTTATTTTTATCATCAAACAAAACATCCTAATCTATTCAACAGAAGATTAAAACTAAATTGGTTTAAAAGAAAAACATTGTTGAATTCAGTTCACTCTATCGATACCAATCTTTTACTGAACCTAAATTACATGGAGACCCGTACAAAGCTATGTTTATTGGTGGTTATAGAGTTTGTTCTTAAAAAGGTTTTTGATTTATCAATTAGGTGTCTCAGACTGAAAAATAATATGGAGTCCTAAATTCTAGGGTTAACCGCATGTAGATCCTTAGAAATACCGAAGCCCTTTTATTCAAAATCAATAACCCATTTTATTGTCACATTTTTCTACAATGTATGTATCAATCCCAAGATGTATTGTACGATGATCGCTTTAGTATGAATAAAATGTCCCTTGGTGTTGTTGTCTCAGATTTTGTGATAATGGTTCTGAATGTTAGAGGAGGGGTATTAAGCTCTGAAAGAAATTACTATTTCGCTCCTTGCGCCCGTTTCGCAATAATCAATTCGCCGAGTCTATTTTTAAATTCATTTTTATTTCAACTATTTCAAGCAATTCGGCCTTTCGCCCACATTTCAAGCATTTCGCCTATCAATGTATACATCCCTTTAGGCATTGTTTCTCTTCACATATTAGATGATGGTTTGGGATAGATGGGTCTGTTTTCCTTGGGTGATGATTTGTCCATTGATTTCTCTTATGACTGGTGTACTGCTAGATGTTTCCCCTTTCTTGCTGTGTTCTGTAACAATTTTCGGGTTCTCTTCCTTTGGCACTTGTGCGTATATAATGACATGGATAACTGTTTTTTCAAAAGTGTGCACATAGCGAGCCAATGAATATTTTCAGTTCATTTCTTCAAGTTTATGAAAGGAATTAATAACGAAAATCACGAACATAAAAATTGCTCCTTATATTCAACATATGAGCTTGGCCATAGAAAAACCGGTCTTATCACAAATATTAAAATTGTGCTATAGAGCCAAGAATGTGCCCAAGATTAAGAGGAAAATGTGCTAAATTCAAATCCGACTTTTTGGTCTATATAATAAGCCACGGTTCATTTGAAAGGTGTGCAAAAATTTAAGAATATTGAAAAATATGTAATAAGACGCCCTTTCCTGTGGCCTGGCTCATATATTGTAGTTTCTATAAGACCTCAATTTGCCCCAATTACTAAAAAATGTAGTGACTTTTAACTGAGCTAGTTTTATCATTATTTCTTTTTTAACAGCTACGCCTTGATGGGAAATTTGATCACACCGTCACTGCTGACAGGATACCAGATACAAGTCCACTCAATCCGTATGATGACTATACTGCAAGTGAACATGGGCTTGCGAGAGGGTCGTCTGACGAACCACATATTAAACTTACGATTCCGGATGACGATGATGATTATGTGTACAGATCGTTGAAAGAAAAACTTGATTGTCGCGCCACAAAATATAAAGAGCTAGAGCGGTTCGACAAAGAAAAAAATGATCGCTCCGAAAGCTTAAAGAAAACGTCAACCCAGAAGCCAAATAGTCACTCGACATATGCACCAAGTCACGAATGTTGCAAGAAATCTCAAAATAACTTGATTAGCGGTCTTGCTATTGACCGTCTCGACAGACTTAGACCTAACATTAATACGAATTCCAATTGGCATGTGACATCAGGCAACTTAATATACGCACCAGTTATCCACAAGTATTATGACAAATATGGAAGAATTACACGCACTTCTGAAAACGTCACCGATGCTGATAATACAACTTCCCAGCAGGTAAAAACTAACAATGACAATGTAAAACCTAAGCCGACTCATATTATACACGATGACGTCGCCGATGAAATGAAGGAGGCTATTCCGCAGAAAATCAACACCACTGCTGTTAAGAAAAATGTGAAATTAAAAAATGAGGCATTGGTTCTTCCAAAAGAACCAAAATCCACCTCTCTAAGTCAAACAACGGACTATGATTTGATTGAGAAACAAGAACGAATACAGACTCAAATAGACGAATTGCTAAATGAATTGAAAAACATGAGATTATTGGCTCAACTTCCACAAAATGATACGACAGTTGAATTGATGCAGCTGGCCAAAAATACTGACATTGAACACCTCACGACAGATGCATGCAGGGAGGTGCAAAACAGGCACGATGAAGATATGCTGACGGCAAAGAAAGATTCTCTCGAAGTAAGTAAGATGATTGTAGACGTTTATTCAAAAGAAATGGAATTAAAGAAACAAGACTTAGAAATTGAAGCAAAAACAAAGGACTTGAAACAACAACAAATAAAATTAGAAAAGGATAAACGGGAATTTGAGAAAATGGCCGATTTCAAAGCAAAAACCCACTCGAAATCGGAAATAAAGAAAAGGAAATCTTTTGGAAGTATGATTCCAAATGACAGCATACGTGATGACCTCGGGACAAGTGATAGTGATAAAGGAGAAATAAGTGATATAAAACTAGATTATGAGATTCGAAGGAAACGGAAAGAATCCCAAAAGAAAAAACAAATGAATGAAAGACAAAATAAAACACAAAAAGCTGAAGAAATTATATCAAAGAAAGAAGGACGAAAAAGAGAAGAAAATGCATTACTCAATAGAAATAATGAGCCTGCAAACTTAGAGAACAAACAAAAAGTTCAAGAAGAACTCATATTTGAGGAAAAGCAGATAGCCAAAGAATTCAAACAAATGGAAAGGCAGACTGCTGAAGAGGAACGCAATTTAAAAGAAAAGCAAAGAGCCAAAGAGGAGCAAAAATGTAAAGAAAAACAGAAAGCCAAAGAGGAGCAGAAATTAAAAGAAAAGCAGAAAGTCAAAGAGGAGCAGAAATTAAAAGAAAAGCAGATAGCCAAAGAGGAGCAGAAATTAAAAGAAAAGCAGAAAGTCGAAGAATGCAAACTAATGGAAAAGCAGAATGCTGAAGAGGAACGCAAATTAAAAGAAAAGCAGAAAACCAAAGAGAAGCAGAAATTAAAAGAAAACCAGAAAGTCGAAGAATGCAAACTAATGGAAAAGCAGAATGCTGAAGAGGAATGCAAACTAAAAGAAAAGCAGAAAGCCAAAGAGGATCAGAAATTAAAAGAAAAGCAGCAGAAACCCGAAGAATGCAAACAACTGGAAAAGCAGAATGCTGAAGATAAGCGCAAATTAAAAGAAAAGCAGAAAGCCAAAGAGGAGCAGAAATTTAAAGAAAAGCAGCAGAAAGCCGAAGAATGCAAACTACTGGAAAAGCAGAATGCTGAAGATAAGCGCAAATTAAAAGAAAAGCAGAAAGCCAAAGAGGAGCAGAAATTTAAAGAAAAGCAACAGAAAGCCGAAGAATGCAAACTACTGGAAAAGCAGAATGCTGAAGAGGAATGCAAACAAAAAGAAAAGCAGAAAGCCAAAGAGGAGCAGAAATTTAAAGAAAAGCAACAGAAAGCCGAAGAATGCAAGCTAATGGAAAAGCAGAATGCTGAAGAGGAACGCAAATTAAAAGAAAAGCAGAGCGCCAAAGAGGAAAGGAAATTAAAAGAAAAGCAGATAGCCAAAGAGGAGCAGAAATTAAAAGAAAAGCAGAAAGTCGAAGAATGCAAACTAATGAAAAAGCAGAATGCTGAAGAGGAATGCAAACTAGAGGAAAAGCAGAAAGCCAAAGAGGAGCAGAAATTAAAAGAAAACCAGATAGCCAAAGAGGAACAGAAATTAAAAGAAAAGCAGAAAACCGAAGAATGCAAACTAATTGAAAATCAGAAAGACGAAGAATGCAAACTAATCGAAAAGCAGAATGCTGAAGAGAAGCAGAAATTAAAAGAAAAGCAGAAAGCCGAAGAATGCAAACTAATTAAAAATCAGAAAGCCGAAGAATGCAAACTAATGGAAAATCAGAATGCGGAAGAGGAATGCAAATTAAAAGAAAGGCAGAAAGTCGAAGAATGCAAACTAATTAAAAATCAGAAAGCCGAAGAATGCAAACTAATGGAAAAGCAGAATGCTGAAGAGGAACGCAAATTAAAAGAAAAGCAGAAAGCCAAAGAGGAGCAGAAATTAAAAGAAAAGCAGCAAAAAGCCGAAGAATGCAAGCTAATGGAAAAGCAGATTGCTGAAGAGGAACGCAAATTAAAAGAAAAGCAGAAAGCCAAAGAGGAACAGAAATTAAAAGAAAACCAGATAGCCAAAGAGGAACAGAAATTAAAAGAAAAGCAGAAAACCGAAGAATGCAAACTAATTGAAAATCAGAAAGACGAAGAATGCAAACTAATCGAAAAGCAGAATGCTGAAGAGAAGCAGAAATTAAAAGAAAAGCAGAAAGCCGAAGAAGGCAAACTAATTAAAAATCAGAAAGCCGAAGAATGCAAACTAATGGAAAATCAGAATGCTGAAGCGGAACGCAAATTAAAAGAAAACCAGATAGCCAAAGAGGATCAGAAATTAAAAGAGAAGCAGATAGCCGAAGAATGCAAACTAATGGAAAATCAGAATGCTAGAGAGGAACGCAAATTAAAAGAAAAGCAGAAAGCAAAAGAGGAGCAGAAATTAAAAGAAAATCAGAAAGCCGAAGAATGCGAACAAATGGAAAAGCAGAATGCTAGAGAGGAACGCAAATTCAAAGAAAAGCAGAAAGCCAAAGAGGAGCAGAAATTAAAAGAAAAGCAGCAGAAAGCCGAAGAATGCAAGCTAATGGAAAAGCAGAATGCTGAAGAGGAACGCAAATTAAAAGAAAAGCAGAAAGCCAAAGAGGAACAGAAATTAAAAGAAAAGCAGATAGCCAAAGAGGAGCAGAAATTAAAAGAAAAGCTGAAAGCCGAAGAATGCAAACTAATGGAAAATCAGAATGCTGAAGAGGAACGCAAATTAAAAGAAAAGCAGATAGCCAAAGAGGATCAGAAATTAAAAGAAAAGCAGATAGCCGAAGAATGCAAACTAATGGAAAATCAGAATGCTAGAGAGGAACGCAAATTAAAAGAAAAGCAGAAAGCCAAAGAGGAGCAGAAATTAAACGAAAGGCAGAAAGCTAAAGAGGAGCAGAAATTAAAAGAAAAGCAGAAAGCCGAAGAATGCGAACTAATGGAAAAGCAGAATGCTGAAGAGGAAAGCAAATTAAAAGAAAAGCAGAAAGCCAAAGAGGAGCAGAAATTAAACGAAATGCAGAAAGCAAAAGAGGAGCAGAAATTAAAAGAAAAGCAGAAAGCCGAAGAATGCAAACTTCTGGAAAATCAGAATGCTGAAGAGGAACGCAAATTAAAGGAAAAGCAGTATGCTGAAGAGGAACGCAAATTAAAAGAAAAGCAGAAAGCCAAAGAGGAGCAGAAATTAAATGAAAGGCAGAAAGCCGAAGAATGTAAACTAATTGAAAATCAGAAAGCAAAAGAATGCAAACTAATCGAAAAGCAGAATGCTGAAGAGAAGCAGAAATTAAAAGAAATTCAGAAAGCCAAAGAGGAGCAGAAATTAAAAGAAAAGCAGATAGCCAAAGAGGAGCAAAAATTAAAAGAAAAGCTGAAAGCCGAAGAATGTAAACTAATGGAAAATCAGAAAGCCGAAGAATGCAAACTTCTGGAAAAGCAGAATGCTGAAGAGGAGCAGAAATTAAAAGAAAAGCAGACAGCCAAAGAGGAGCACAATTTAAAAGAAAATCAGAAAGCCGAAGAATGCGAACTAATGGAAAAGCAGAAAAGTGATGAGGAAGACGACTTAAAGGAATGGTGTGAAACCAAAGAGGAGCGGGTATTAAAAGAGAGACAGGAAGAAGAATGCAAACTACTTAAAAGGCAGAATGCTGAAGAGAAATGCAAATCAAAGGATATGCAGAAAGCCGAAAAGGGGAAAAAATTAAAAGAAAAGAAGAAAGCCAAAGAGGAGCAGAAATTAAAAGAAAAGCAGAAAACCAAAGAAGACAAACTAATGAAAAGGCAGAATGATGAAGAGAAACACAAATTAAAGGATACACAGAAACTCGAAAAAAAGGAAAAATTAAAAGAAAAGAAGAAAGCCAAAGAGGAGCAGAAATTAAATGAAAAGCAAAAAGCTGAAGAAAACAAAGTAATGAAAAAGCAGAAAATCGAAGAAGACAAACTAATGAAAAAGCAGAAAGCCGAAGAATGCAAACTAATCAAAAAGCAGAATGCTGAAGAGAAGCAGAAATTGAAGGATATGCAGAAAGTCGAAAAAAGGGAAAAACTAGAAGAAAAGAAGAAATCTAAAGAGGAGCAGAAATTAAAACAAAAGCAGAAAACCGAAGAAGACAAACTAATGAAATGGGAGAATGATGAAGAGAAACACAAATTAAAGGATACGCAGAAAGTCGAAAAAAAGGAAAAATTAAAAGAAAAGAAGAAAATCAAAGAGGAGCAGAAATCAAAAGCAAAGCAGGAAACTGACGAAAACAAACGTATTAAAAAGCAGAAAGCCGAAGAAAAAAAACGAATCAAAAAGCAGAAAGCTGAAGAAAACAAAGTATTTAAAAAGCAGAAAGCCGAAGAGAACAAAGTAATCAAAAAGCAGAATTCTGAAGAGAAACACAAATCAAAGGATACGCAGAAACTCGAAAAAAAGGAAAAATTAAAAGAAAAGAAGAAAATCAAAGAGGAGCAGAAATCAAAAGCAAAGCAGGAAGCTGATGAAAACAAACGTATTAAAAAGCAGAAAGCCGAAGAAAAAAAACTAATCGAAAAGCAGAAAGCTGAAGAAAACAAACTAATTAAAAAGCAGAAAGCTGAAGAAAACAAACTAATGAAAAAGCAGAATTCTGAAGAGAAACACAAATTAAGGGATATGCAGAAAGTCGAAAAAAAGGAAAAATTAAAAGAAAAGAAGAAAGCCAAAGAGGAGCAGAAATCAAAAGAAAAGCAGGAAGCTTATGAAAACAAACTAATTAAAAAGCAGAAAGCTGAAGAAGAAAAACTAATCAAAAAGCAGAAAGCTGAAGAAAACAAACTAATTAAAAAGCAAAAAGCCGAAGAAAACAAACTAATCAAAGAGCAGAAAGCCGAAGAAAAGAAACTAATCAAAAGGCAGAAAGCTGAAGAAAACAAGATAATAAAATGCCAGAATTATGAAAAGAAACGCAAATTAAAGCATAAGCAGAAAGTCGAAAAATGGGGAAAATTAAGAGAAAGGCAGAAAGCCAAATATGAGCAGAAATTAGAAGAAAAGCAGAAAGCAGAAGAAAACAAACTAATTAAAAAGCAGAAAGCCGAAGAAAACAAACTAATCAAAAAGCAGAAAGCTGACGAAAACAAGGTAATAAAATGCCAGAATTATGAAAGGAAACGCAAATTAAAGCATAAGCAGAAAGTCGAAAAATGGAAAAAATTAAGAGAAAAGCAGAAAGCCAAATCGGAGCAGAAATTAGAAGAAAAGCAGAAAGCCGAAGCATACAAGCTAATCAAAAAGCAGAAAGATGAAGAAATCAAGGTAATAAAATGCCAGAGTTATGAAAAGAAACGCAAATTAAAGCATAAGCGGAAAGTCGAAAAATGGGGAAAATTAAGAGAAAGGCAGAAAGCCAAATGGGAGCAGAAATTAGAACAAAAGCAGAAAGCCGAGGAATACAAGCTAATGGAAAAGCAGAGAATTGATGAGGAACGAATACTATCTGAACAGCTGAGATCTAAAGAGAAGCAGGAATTTAAAACAAGACAGAGGCTCATAGAGGAAAAAACTAGAAATCTAGAGGAAGAACAGGTTGAAGAAGAAAACATGAGAAAGGAGGCTGAAAAGGAAAAAAGAAAACGAGACGACCAGCGGAAATGGGAAGATACGACAAGAACAATACGTAGACAAGAAAGGCGGAGACGTTTAGATGAAACATTGCAAGATGTATTTGAGAGAAAAAAGAAAGAACGCGAAGAAGAAATCGAGCTACAGAGACTAGCTCAAGAAGATGAAATCAAAACAAATGCAAGAGAAGAACGAACTATTAGTGAACTTGAATCAGAGGAAGAATCAATGTGGTATGCATACATACAACGACATGATGAAGACCAAGAAATCAAAAGGAAAAAACGGGAAAAACAAAGAATAAAGAGACTAGCTCAAGAAGATGAAATCAGAAAGAATGCAAGAGAAGAACGATTTTTAAATATTGGTGAACTTGAATCAGAGGAAGATTCAATGTCGTATGCATACAAACAACGACAGGATGAAGACCAAGAAATCAAAAGGAAAAAACGGGAAAAACAAAGAATAAAGAGACTAGCTCAAGAAGATGAAATCAGAAAGAATGCAAGAGAAGAACGATTTTTAAATATTGGTGAACTTGAATCAGAGGAAGATTCAATGTCGTATTCATACAAACAACGACAGGATGAAGACCAAGAAATCAAAAGGAAAAAACGGGAAAAACAAAGAATAGAAAATCAAAAAGCAGAAGAAGCACGGACATTAGCATCAAAGGATAAGATAAGGAGAGTAGAAGAGGAAAGAGAAGGACAAGCTCATCTCGGAAAACAAGTGGAAAGGAGGAATCGAGAAAAGAAATTAGAGGAAGAGCAGAGGGTGAAATCAATTGATTTGGAATATGAAAGTACGTTGAAGTTGTATGAGGAGGAAATAAAATGGTGGGAAGAAGAAATAGAGGATCAAGCTAAACAAGGTATAATAAACGACCCTGGAACTTTCATTAAAGGAAACGAAGCCAAAAAATATGCATCAGAGAAACAAGAGAAAACGAGAATTAGAGACAAGAAACTCGTTGAAAAGCAGAAGGAGGAACCACCTGATTCGGAATTTGAAGATGCATTGAAGTTCTTTGAGGAGGAAGAAAGGAAGATGGAAGAAGAAAAAAGAGCAAAGAAAATTAAAAAGAAGAAGGAGGTTCCAACTGATTTGGAATATGAAAATGCATGTAAGTTCTTTAAGGAGGAAGAAAGGAAGATGGAAGAAGAAAAAGAGCAAAGGAAGTTGAGACAGAACAAGCAAATGAAGTATTAAATGATCCAGCCAAACAATGTATAATAAACGACCCTGGAACTTTGATTAAAGGATATGAGGCCAAGAAACATGCATCAGAAAACAAGGGCAACGAGAATTCGAAATTCGTGTAGAATAGCAGAGGGATGAACTAAAGGAAGCAGAAGCTCCTTGAGGGGGAAGAAATAACATAAAATTGAAACATAATACTGATATCATTTACCGTCAACCAATCGCATTGAGAGAAATATATGCTCCAAAAACTCCTCTCCAATTGATATACAATGTACGAGAATGAAGGGACATTCCGAGAAATCCCAATCGACGGCTCAGTGTGAATCAATTCACTTTCACCACCAGCACGAGATGTCCCATGCATTGACATAGTCTGTGTTATGTTTGATTCAACACATATTTGAAAGATTATATGAACAATTATCTAATAGATGGAGCTCGGTCTGATTTTCACAATCTCACGGATGGAGACCAACCATCCGTCGGTGAATAGTCGGTGATATTTCATAATAAATGGACAGTGATCAAACTGAACAACTGGGTCAATTTGTGATTCAGTCAATGATAAACGGTTGGATCGATACGAAGATATATAAAGTATACTTGTAAATATTATTAATACTTGTAAATATTGTAAATAATGTAAATATATATCAAAACAAAATAATTTTATTTTATTTGTATCATTCAGTTTATTTGAAGATACTAATCTGATATATTAACGATTTATTTTTTCAACATATTCAATTTACATTTACCAGAAGAAGGTCTTTTCATACTGAAAAAATCGTATCTCTATTGACCCAAGTTATTTTCCAATTCAAAAATCATTTATTACCATTAGTGCTGAATTCAAAAGTAAGCTACAGGGTGACCCAAAAAATGCAACCCTCCATTTCTTCAATATTTTTCTTATATGGAGATAGATTGCTCTGAGATTTGGCACACAAGGACTTCATTCAATGTTGGATCCTCTGGCAAAGTTTTAATAATCATATATCATCTTATATTGATAGAGTTATGGTTTTTTCAAAATATGCTCCAGATGTCGTCAATTTCGATGAAAACAAACTTGCAATGTTCAAGGAAAACTATTCATAACACGGAGGCATTCTTCCCCAGGGGTATGGCTCAAATTTTTGCAGCCATTGCTTACTGGAGTTCTGCAATTGGGGTAGGGTTATTTTCATACACATTCGGTCAAGTCAAGTAACTTAGTCAACATTCGATATTCGTATGTTCATCAATATTTACTAAGAATGGTGTCACAATTGAAGTAAACCTCTGGTTAATTATTTTCAATAAACCTATCAGCAAACGTGTAAATGATAATTTTGATGTTCTGTTACATATTGGTGAAGCAATCTTGGGGAAATGGCCTAAATTTCTGATTTTCCTCTGTGTCCCTGTATACCCCTACTTCAAAAGATATATGTTATTCGTCATTTTTTATTATGAACCAACCATAAATGTATTTTTTCTTGTTTACATACAGAATAAACTTTCTGTTTCCAAATATTAAAAGATGGTACTGCATTTATCTGTTCATGATATGGAGCAAACAAATGGGTGTCAATATACACTGTAATATCCTACATACTTATATTTCAAGGGTAGTTTTGAAGAATTATCAAGAAAATCCATGTTTTCAAATGGATTCATCCTTGTCAAAGAACGTAAATGAGGATATGCGGTTTGAAAAACTAACAACATGTTTCAAGTTCTTACAATTCTTGGTTAAAACAAATATTTTGAAAGTTGTGATTTTGAATGTAATATCCTACTCAATGAAATTTGTTGATATTTGTGAATTTTTTCTTTCGGAATGCACATTGCTGGATCACAGAACCTTGCCTTGTTCGCGATGCACGAAAAGTGTATTGTTAATTTTTGACGTCGTTCGGATATTTGGATGTGATTGACGTTTTCGTTAATCTCCTACCACTGTAACTTCCAACTTAATTTTTGAAAGCCAAATATGATAGTCACGAATTGATATTTAAGTCACATGTTGATGCATACATTATGTGTGTACATTAACTGTCGAATACATGCCGACTTACATTTATATAAATATCCACAGTTAACTGATATCATCAATTCTCGAAACAGTTTATCATATAACCTGGTGAGTTTAATGATACATTTTAATTTATAATTATGGTATCGGATTTGAGTATGATATTAGTCGAGACTTAAGCAAAGCAATAAAATTGAGTGAAACTTTTTGTGAAAATTCGAACGATATTTCAAGAATCCCACTTCAAAGTGTTAAAAAGTGCTCCCCGGGAGTGGAAATTTCGTCTTGTGTAATCAAAATAATAGCGGGTGGTTTGAATTTTTGTTTGAGTTTAGAGCTTACATCTATAAATTTAAAAACATATCGCCTCATTGAGAGGTACATGCAGATTTTGGCGATCTATCATTATAAAAGGCTAAATATTGTGCAAAAACAGGAGTTGGCACGCTTACATTTGGAAATGAAATTTCCTACATAATAGCCGACTCATGTTAAAAAGTCATGAAAACAAGGTTGAACCCAAAACATTGACCCAGTTACTGTCTATTTAGCATGGGATCACTAAGGGAAATATTATTAATGACTTAAATTGTTAACGGTAAAGTTGTGTTCCAAGAAACTTATCAATTTAGAAATGCAAAATGTTCAATTTTGTTTTTCAATTATAAAAAATCGCAACGTTTACAAAATTATTTAAAACGGACATATTTACTTATGCAACATTCATTGGCATGTGTCAGGGAGTAAATAGGAAGAATATGCATTTGATTTTACATCTTGTTCCCAAAGGAGTTTGTTAAAGAGCGGTATATCTTAACGTACTTTTATCATCCCGAACTCAAACATTTCGAATACTTATTTTAAGAACGCTTTGTTAAGAATGGATTCGAGATGTACCCAAAATTAATACGTTAAAATGTGTATTATCATCTTAATAATTACCTCATAAATTATTTTGGAAATCAAAGATGTACGATTTTTGAGATTTTTATTTTCGAATGTTGACTTACTTACTTGGCTTGACTGATTATCCTTTGAGATCAGGACTGTGGGATGACCATCGGTTCTCCGTCTTAGGAGGGATCATCTTCTCATAGAAATGACTAGTGAGCCAGGCTATGCTATCATTAGAAGTGTGAGGAGAAACTCCATCCTTCTAGAACCACTGTTCTTGTCTATTGAAGCAACTATGCCACTGTAGAAGAACTGCCTAGAACTTCCTGGGAACGCAAATATTGCGCTGTGTGTTAACAATAACAGTGCTGGTATTATCAACCTCAAAACAAAAGGGGCTGATGATTTCATGTTTGGAAATTGGCAGCCCAAGCTGTGCATTTAACAGAATGAAGGGGCCTTTGAAGCACTTCATCTGGAATTTGTGATCCCAGAACACATTATTTCTTGAGTTTACATGTTCAGAAAGAAGGGAATGTGATTCATCTGAAAACTTAACATTGGAAATGGACGACATTTGGAGCATATTTTGGAACGACCATAGCTCTATCAATATAAGACTATGATTATTGAAACTTTGCCAGAGGATCCCACATTGAATGATCTCCTTGTGTGCCAAATCTCAGAGCAATTTATCTCCATTTAATAAAAATATTGAAGAAATGGAGGGTTGCATTTTTTTGGGTCACCCTGTTTATGAAAAAATGTATCCATTTAATCTCACTGCAGAGGAGTTCTCTCCGCTTTTGAGTGTATATCCACCCATGATTTCAAAATGGCAACCATCAACTTCTGTAAATATTTCCATTCAAGTTAATTTTTCAAACATTGCTGCTGTACTGGGTGGAGTAGAACTGTTGTAAATGAGTATAGCCGTGCTATATATTAATGAAGATATTGGAATGATATCAATTCATTTTTTCAGCCCTAAAATTAGTTTCTTCTCTACAGATTATGCATATTATAATAACGTAAACATAAAGGTGCTTTAATGGGAATGTTAGGGGTTTGAGGCAGGTGTAATTATTTTCAATACATGGCGAAGGACGAGGGACAAAAACGACACTTTTTGAAAAATACCATAACCTTTTTATTCACCAACCTACACACACCAAATTTGTATTTGGATTGTATTTGATCTAAAAGAGGAGTTTAATTGGTCCGCCACCCTCTCTGATGATAGCTTTTAGTCTTAGTCGCCATACTGATATAGCAGTATCAGTAAAATGTTGGCTTTTCTTTCAACGTGTCCTAATCGCCAGCTTTAGTTGGGCAATATTTCGAGATTGGGTGCCTATAGGCTTATACTGTACCATCTCCCGGAGACCTCCCCATACCCTTTAATCACTGGGGTTTGAATCAGAACTATAAGATGGGTTGTCATCGGGTTGTATCAATTTAGGTACATTATGCAAATAATGTTTATTTTTCATGGCAAACCGCATGTTTAAGTGAGACGCTGTTGACATATTTTATTCAAATATAAAGCTACAATTCATAACGCCTGGCTAGATTGCAACTTCAAGTTTCATTTGGTATGTAGATTATGATTTTGAATCAAAACTTAAAAAAGTTACAGCATTTTAAAATAAAAGTGGCGTTTTTTGACGCACTCTGTATATTGGCTCGGGGTATACGGATTGTCATGATTTTATATAAGTGTCAAATATATATTCACGCATAGCTAGGCAAGGTGTGTCCGATTCCAGCCAATCCGAACAGAGTATAATGTACAGTGTGTGAAATATCAATAACACATGCAAGGTCGTTAAACAGTTGTCATGGTGATGAATTGATTTTTCCCATTGGATTTGATGACTTGCCAACTTGACCCTTGCAAAAATTTCATTGAAAATGAAGTGATTTTTAGTGATTTCGTTCCTTTTAGATGATTTTATAGAAAAATAGCAATGTGTGAAAATAATTTAAGCCCAAGACTCAATGCATTGTAGCTGCTTCATACCACCCAGGCGTTGTTTCCTAAACTTTGCATTCCCGCTGCGCGGTCATGCAAAGGTTTGGAAAAACACCTTCATGGTATGATTCAGCAAACATGCATTGAGTCTTTGGCTTAAATCCTTTAACAGTCTAAGTAATTATACAATGTTTATGTTTATGACAATTTTTGTCACAGTATAACAAAAAGACAAATTTTAAGGCACAAGTTAAGGCACATGTTATTTTCTATTTTTAGTTTAGACAAACAATAACCGAACATTTCAATGTTTTTTTAAACTGGACATCATTTCAGTTGATTAGATACCAGAATCCAATGATATAATTTTCTCGTAAATATGTCATTTAAGTTCAAATTAAACATGAGAAAACATGTCTGGGTTTTATAAGGACATCCGTAGTTTATTACCTGTTTACATAATTACATACAATACTTATAGTTTGATTTATTTTTAACAGATCAGACACGTCATCCTATTCAAATTCTTCTTTAATCAAGCTAAGGCCATAGACTTACAGAAAATACGTCCGTGCTGAGACATACGATTACACTAATAATCCTATTATCGAAGCTATATTGGTGTGTGAGTCAAATGAACTCACTAGTCATGGATATTATTTTAATTCTGGTGTGAATCTATAAGTATTTTGATGATCCAAGAAATAAGAACACATCTGGACTCAATACTTCACTGACGTATTTGATCTGGCTCCATGATTAAAAATCCATTTTGAAATACTAGTTACTAAATTTTATCAACAAACAGGCAGTGCAAAAAACTATAAGGAAGAAGATATGCCAATATCGATATCACGCAGGTCCAAATCTCAGGCGTATTACGCCCTTTCTCTATTTAAGTACAGGGTGACATAAAAATGCCACCCACTTATTTCGGATTAACACTCTCAATAAGCAAGTAGTCAGTTTATCAAAAATTGGTATAGATATGACATATTATATAAGATAGTAAAAACAATCCAGAAATGACTCCAATAAAGACAAAGGCAGAAATTTTGAACATTTTTTGAAGATTTCACCGAGAGCATGTGGACGGAACGGAAAACGTGATATCTCTAATTCTGAAAGATTTTGATGCTATCCAGGTACAACAATGTTTTTCCACTGAACACTCTATCTCCATGTACACAAAAAATCACGTGGATTCCTCAATTATTTAGAAAGTTGTTCCAAAATAAGTGTGTGGCATTTTTTGTGTCACCCTGTACATTACTTTTTACACACAATCCCTCATTTTAGCTGCGTTTGGGTCCCAAGCTGTGAAAAGACTTTCAACATTTAAGTCTAGATATCTCGCCAGTTCTTTCCTCATTCTTGCCTATATTTTCCGATTGGGTATGCCCATTTCAGCCCTCGCTGCGGCTACTGTGTTTGGTATTAGACGCAGCAGTTTATAAAACACCTCGACGTCTGTTCAAAATGACCCATAACGTGCAAGACTAAAACTTCGACTGTATGATCAAAAAGCCTGCAACCGCAATTATTTCAAAATGAGCAAAACTTGAACGTGAACTTAATGCGCGCGCAGAAAAATAACGTCAGATTAGTTTATTTTCTGTGGGTCAGCTTGTAGTTTACAACCAGTTTTTATAAGGTTTAGATTATCATATTGTTACACATTGGTGCAATTTATGGACGCGTATTCAACAAAGCATGAACGTGAAGTTCAATGCGCGCGCAGAAGAACAACGTCAGATAAGTCTACTTTCTTCAGGGTAAGCGTGAAAGTTACAGATTTTTACTTGTAGAGGAGCTCGTACGTGATTGATTTTAGCTATGTTCTAGGGTACCCCTTGATATGAACTGGAACTTAGTAATTGAATTGAAAAAGTGGTTGAATATGAAATAAAGCAAAAAAATGTATTCAACTGACTGAATTTGAACCCAGAGCTGACGGACACAAGTCCTAAGTGCTAACCATCCTGTCTATTATATCACGCACAATTGTATATTTGTCCCATAAATCAGATGGTTTCAAGGTGGTTCATGATCCTTTGCATACATGTAGGTTGTTCATTCAATGGATCATTATGATATAAATTCAAAAACTATTTCCTTTATGAAAATGAATAAATGTCAGAGGAAAACATACGATTTAACATTTGAAAAAGGTTGAAAAAGTTACTTTTAACGCAAGTCGTTCCTTGTCTTGCTGCTCTGTTCAAATAATTTCCCAAGTCACAGACTCAAGCTTCTCATTGCTATAAACCCGACGAGGCGTTACGGAAGGCTGCTGGTGCTATGGGTCATTTTGAACATATGTGAAGGCGTTTTCAAAACTGATGCGTTTAATTCCAAAAAAATGAAAATGTAGTGCTGCAGTGGACTTCGATTCGGAAATATGAGCGAGAATGAGGACAGAAATGGAGAGATAACTAGACTTGTAGTTGAATTCTTTAAAAAGTTGTATCTTCTCACTGATGAGGACCCAAACGCCGCTAAAATAAGGGACTATACCGACAGAAAGGCATGTATTTAAAGGGAACAAGATTAAAAAAGATGCAGTTTGCGACTCACAATCATTGATTTTAACCATTCCACCAATTAATAGGGCAGCAGAAAACAGGTGTCAACAAAACACTGATACATCAAACCTCACAACCAAAAATACTTCAACAATATCAACACGTGTCTTTAATGAGGAAAATATTCCGTAAAGGTCTATTCTTGTGACAATATTGAATTACCAGTTGCCTTTGCTTAAAAAGTCGAGTAGCACTGGCGGATCCAGGGGGAGGGCATGCCCTTGGGTGTACAATGTAAAGTCTTGTCTACGTTTTTCAAGTCAAACTGTTCGATGGATTGACCTGAAATGTTTACGGATGTTTCATGGTATGAAAGTTCAGAACTGATTGGATTTTGGGAATCATAGGTAAATTTTAGTGGCAATTTTGGATTTTTCGTCCTAAAATCTTGTATGTAAAGTCAGAAATGTTAAGGGGTGCCTCTTGGTAGGAAAGATTAGAACTGCTTAGTTTTTGGTCATTATGGGTACATGTTAAGGCGGGAATTTTGGACTTCCCGTCGCTTTAATTGTCTATTCTATTCAAGAGCGATAATGTTCACGATATGACCTTGTTCCTGAATTTGTTGTGTCTTGTACCTACACAAGACAACACGCCTCATACCTTTACTAAGATTTTTGATACGGAATGCATAAATCCAAGGATTCACGGCGCTGTTTGCCCACAATAGTAACTGGAAGATTTTCCAAAGATGAACCAGTCGTTTACGATCAACAGTCATTTGAAGAAGGATAGTAAAAGTTGTAGGCAACCAGCATATTGCAAACAACCCGACTAGTAAAGTCATCGTTTTTACTAAACGACTGTCTTTCAAGTAGGCAACAGCTAGATTGTTATTGAACCTACTTAGTTTTTGAATATGTGCTTTTCGACTTTTGAATGCAACAACTGCCACAACGAGGTGTGAAATCACTATGATCAGAAACGCCGCAATGATATTCACATTCACAAAGATGTTGTATTTACGATTGTAAACCTGCTTTGCACATTCAGAGACAGATTCATCAAAATGAGGCATTCGCTTGTAAAACATGAAACAACAGACGACAATCGGATAAAGCCAACACAGTGTAATACACAGCATTGCACGTCGGCGTGTTACAAGCACTTTATATTTTAAAGGCTTAGTAACAGCAATGTAACGATCTAAAGCAATTCCACCTAAGCTGGCAAGAGAAACACCATACGAACATCTGCTAATGAAAGATCTAACTAAACAGATGTATTCATTCTGTATGACTCTGCCGGAGATAAGCGGGGGCAAATATAAGCTGATGACACGCAAAGGTAATACCACTGCCCCGATAAAAATATCAGCCACCGCCAAACTGACCAAGAACATATTGCTCACTGTTCGCAACGATTTAAATGAAATGATACTGACAACTACTGGGATATTTCCACCACATATCAACAATGAAAGAACACAATTTGATGTTAGCATGAATATTGAAAATGAGTCCAATGTTTCATTCTTGGGATTCTCAACATCTTTCGTTACATTCATATTGTAGTTGATTCACTTCCAATTTCTAAATGTCTATTGGCATGGGTTTGATTTTGAGATTCGCTGATACTATCATTCAATATAAAGATGTTCTTGTAGAAAAATTAGAGGTATCATAGCACCACTTCAGAACCGTTGAGCCATACCTGATTGCTCACTAATTGTTAAATTTAAAATTCAGATGGATACCTTGGTAGGTTTAATCAAATACTAAATCGTCCGTAAGCATTGTTTCGGTTCTGTTTCTTTTATTGCTTGGTTAATCAGTGCTAATTTAGAGGCGCAGCCAGCTTTTGACTGAGGGGGGGGGGGGCTATTTTGTTTGGCTTCATATTTGTTCAGGTAAGACGGCTTGGTGCGCAGTGCCGTGCTTATGACGTATAGCGCAGTGTCAATAATAATAGCTATATTATAGACTATAATATATATAATATATAAAATGTCTATATTCAGTTTTCCATCAGGAGTTGAGTATGTCTTTAAAAGAGCTTTCAAATAGTTCAATTCTGCTTCTTCAAAATACAGCTTTATCATGTACTTGGTGCTGACTCTCAGAATATCAGGAGCGATATTGTGGAAGCTCTAGAAGCTCGCGACGCTAGTGTCCATAATCAGTTCTCTAAAGCAACGTCAACCCTAAATAGTAAATATGTAGGTGCCCGTATTCGGTTCTCTAGAGCAACGTTGACCCTAAACTATGTATGTACCCGTATTCGGTTCTCTCTAGCAACGTTAACGTTAACGCTTAAGGCCCCCTCACATATGAACGAATCCACCAAACGCAGCCTGACGCATGTGGTAAATTAGTCATTCTGGCGAATATTGAGCGAAAATGTTTAAAAATATGTTACATAATAGAAAACATAACGAATAGTAATGTAAGGTAACTATTTGTTGCGAATATTTTACGAAGTGTGACGAATTACTACTTTTCTTCGCTAAGATGCGTTGCGTCTCGCAAACAACCTTTGACATCCCCTTCAGCGAGTAATAACGCATACATGCGAAATAAAGCGTAATTATGCGCATTCTTCCGAATCTGAACAAAGCCTTACGAAAAGCAGGAGGCGTCAGCGATTCCCGTCAGCGATTAACAACGCATACATGCGAACCAAAGCGCAATTGTGCGCATGCTTCCGAATCTAAACGAACCTTTGCGAAAAGTGTAAGGGTCAATTTACTTGACAACACCACACTATCATATATAAATCTGAAATTGTTAACCTATTGGGTGGCATTTTTTGGTGTCACCCTGTATTTAATATGGCTCTTCTGACATTTCTAACATAGTCTACCTTAATTAAGAGGTCGTAGTCAACACAGATTTGAAATTCATACAGTGATCATCCATTGGGAATGTTATTAACACGTACAATTGGTTACCATGCCAAGCAATTATTGTAATTACTTCAGTTTGAATGAAATATCCCTATGTTTTATGGTTTTGGGTCGTAATATTTCATATTAGAATGGAAGGGGAGGGGTGTTGGACACTGTTTCTTTTGACGCTTGAATTTCATTTGGGATAGTTGGGGTTTGTTTTTAATGACAATATTCGCTTAAAGATTTTGTTTCTCTTGTGTTTTCTGATCATGTTTGGTATTTTCCCTTTGATATTATATCAATACATTTCTTATTATTAGACTCGTAAAACAACTAGTTTTTACAATTTATGTCAGGCAAATTACACTTAATTTCAAGTTGACACAGTGCTTTAGATTATTTCTCAAAGTCCAACCTTTAATTTGGCACGATCCTGTCTTGCCATGGTACACTTCCTGCTGGAGAGTTGACCCAGTGCTTCAGAGTATTTCTCACAATCTTCCCCTTTTTGTTTGCTGTGTTGTGGCCTCTGATATTGGCAGCCCTGACATCTTCCAAGTTGCGATCTCTCCTCCATTCCCCAGGAACCATGTCGCCTCTTCTGTCCTCTTGGTCAATCAGTGCATTTTGCATTGTAGGGTACTTCATTCTCATCAAGTTGTGGAGGGGGTCAACCCAGTTGTCCGAAACCCAGTTGTCCGAAACCCAGTTCTCCGAAAATTAAAAAATTAAATTTCTTAGTAACGAATCTTGTCGCAACCTCGCGAATCAGGACAGCATAACATTGGTATCACGTTGACATCGGTTAGCCCGGTCAATAATGGGTCCGAAAGTTCACGATCATATATATATTCTTACTAGATTCTCGGCACATAGACTTATATGGACATTCTATACAAATTTTGAACCGCATTGTCCAGGACGAATCGCACTCCTTCTTGTTGAAAATTCAAGACTGCCGCCAACATTTTAGACAATTATCACAGTCGGAGAGAATATTCTGGCGAAAGGAACATCTATCTCATTAGAATAACGTATGGACGTCCGTGACAATTATATTCATTTGATGATTTTTTTCATTCCCTTTTCTCAATAAAATATGGTTAATTATGTTTTCCAATATCAATTGATAATATTTCTAGCCTGAAAAATATCTAAAAAGAAGATTTTGGTTGTTCAGTACCACCCATTGTTAAGATTTCGTCCAAATTTTCGATAAATCAATAAAATATGCTCATTTCGTATAACTTATATATGTGGCATATATACATATCAGATGTCTATCCTTTTTTCATCATAATATAAGAGGTTTGTATGTTTTAGTAGAAACGTATTCCTTTCCAAACATTTAGATTTAAGAATTTCTCCCATTGGTGATATTGTTCAAAATCAAAACTGTGTTTTTGCGATATATTGAACTGTTGAAGTAAGTGTGTAATAGTTTGTAGTAGAGCCAAGATTTGATCTGTATCATGTACGTACCCTGCATAAAAAAAAAATCGTTTTTAGTGTGCCATAGATGTCAACCATTAACTATTGCAGAATCAAAAAAAGTTTTGTGAAAAATTAGGATAATGTTTAAAAATTATACACCGGACAATAAATAACTACTCAATGCAGACAGGGAGTTTTAATTGCCCAAAAACTGAGTATCAAAATGCATTTGTATCTCTTTAGTATCTTGCATGACTCGTTCATATGAATTCTTTATTTCTACCTCGTTCCCAATACATTCTGAGACAGTTCAACCTTTGCCCCACGTCCTGTTCGTCGTTAGTACATTGTCACTCGATATAATTGCCACGCGGTCCTAACTTCGACCGTTAATTTGAATTTTTGACGTACCGGATATTTGAAAATCAAGGATTACGAGTCTCATACTGCACCGTTTTTCTTCAAACTTGTTCCATTCAAAGCATGACAAAAATCTCTTTCTGGTGGTACGTCATTATCTTAAACAGAGTTCCTACTTCCAGCGTAATTTTGGTCCCCAGCTGTAAGAAGGCCTTCTAACAGCTGGGGAGTGTGGACCAAAACGCTGCTAGAACGAGAGACTCTTTACAATAAAGTAATGCACTGACAGAAGTGCAATTTTGTTTTGCTTTTAATGGTATAATGGAAGAAAAAAGGTGCAGTATCAGACTCGCAATCCTTGATTTTCAAGCATCTGGTAGGTCAAAAATTCCAATTAACGGTCGAAGACCGCGTGAAAGGGTAGTAAGTAGACCCCAAACGGTTCTAAACGATACTTCCAATCCGTCCATACAGTTTAAGCCCGTTCTCGAGAGCGTAGTGAGAACTAGTTTGGTGTGATAATAGGGTCAGATACTGAAAGTGTAAGCATGGACGACCTCCAACCGTCCAATGAATACAGTGGGTTCAGAATCAGAACGCGTTTCAGACGGCGTTCTGAAACAGCTCACTATAGCTTATTCCTTAAATTTTGGCCTGAATGCTTTGTACGTTGAGAGACGGGACGGGACACGACAAGTGTGACAGCGCCATTAGCATTAGGCGCACGATGGGCACATTTTAACTTGGTATGAGTAGGGGGTAATTTATGAGGATCAATAGGACTCAGTCGGATTCAAAATGCAATTTTTTATTTTATCATTGGTTGCATTTTCTGTTCCTGAAGAATAACGTGGATTGCATATGTGTCCCCGATTTGTGGGAGTTACACCCCAGTCACATTTCCAACGGCCACTGTGCGGTCTATCATTTCTGCGGCCAATAGCTTTTCCACGCTCGCCGTAGAAATTCTGCGCTCTCATACTTTTGCAGTCACATTTCCCACGGCAGCCGCCCGGTGAATTTTAAATTTCTGTTGATAAATAATACTTTTTTCATTTTATTTACATCAGGGCAATTTATAAATGTTATTCATAGTGCTAGGATGTAATATCAAATGAAAAGTGATCGTGAAGCTAGTATTTAGCCTAATAAAAACTGTCGAAAGATAAAAATACAGGTGATACAGATCTTCAAATAAACAAAGTTAAATTATGCTATTCTCATTGCAAAGTGGCGTTTACATATTAACATACATAGGGGTCTACAATTTTTAAACCAATTTTCTTTATGCCCCATGGGGCTTTTTGAGAGGGAACAACATTTTTCCAATGTGTGATGGGCGTTCATAAAAGGGAAATAGTTTTCCCAAGCCAGTGGGCATTTATTGAGTAAAGTTGACGTGTAAATCTTTTGAAACCAAAAATTATTCTTCATTTAGGTACTCTGTTCGAGAAATAGAGATTAAATTCAAAAAGATGAAGTGAGTACATGGCGAAAATGAAACTTCTTGCGAATGGGAGAACATCCAATTTGATACGAGGACAGCCTGTCTTCGTTTCCAGTTAATCCCAAGTGATTACGTTTAGAATGTTTTGTTCTTTTACATTTTACGATTTGATAAGAGACAGAGACTAAGAAATTAAATGCGACGAAACATTTTGACAACGTAATATGTGTACTGTTTATTCTTAAAGTTTTATGCGTTAACTTATTTTATCGGTTTCAAAATGTTTCATTTTATTTTGCCTATATAAAATATATTGAATAAGATAAGATCAACTGTTCCGTAATATATATTGTGTTTTGATGACCTTTTTTAGAATCACAATGTAAAATAAATCCCCCGTTCCTGTCATTCTGGTAACGCCGTGTAATGGATGCAATTCAAAGTGAGAGAGAGATCTATACATCAGAATGCGTCCATGCCATTAATTTTGCCAAATACATGACATGAAACTGGCTTGAGGTGCGTCCCCCTTTATCTGGTAAATTATGACTAAATTTTTCGGACAACTGGGTTTCGGACAACTGGGTTTCGGACAACTGGGTTTCGGACAACTGGGTTTCGGACAACTGGGGTGCACCCGTTGTGGAGAATGCAGCATGTCTTGACTATCAGCCTCGCTGTGGATGGCTTATGGTTCATCGTTGAGAGGAGTACCTGAAATGTTATTATGCGTTAAATTGAATTAAATTGAAAATACGGATTAATAGTTAAACTGTTATAGGTCGAATGTGGAACTCAGTTGGTTCCAATTTATGCGCCTCTTTCAAATTATTTTTCAAACAAAACATACTATTTTCATGTCTCAATTAGCGGAAGTTCGAATGAAGTCTCATTTACTCGAAGTCGAATAAACGTATCTAGATAGTCCCAGGAACTTGGAGTTTAACGGTTTGTTTCGCCGACAAATATTATAAATTACAATGTACCTGGAATCGGTTGGCCAAAATTCCAAAGGCGTTTTCTGAAACCCTCCTAGCCCTCGATAACCGGTAGTTTAGAATTCTTTCCTCTCTAGTGAGGGTTCTATGTCCATAGGGCTTCTGCATGTGATCACTGAGGCTGAATGCGTCATCCCCTACCAAGAAAAAAGGCATATCAACGGTGTCGTTGGGAAATGGCTGTTGGTGTGGAAATGCGATCGAACCATCCTGCAACAATCTCCAAGAATTCCGATGCATTATAGATCCTGGCATCTCCACTTGAACCATATCCTGATATTATACAAGAGTAAGAGGATAAAATATTGTCAGTATACATTGCAAATATAGCTATAATTGTATTAAATCTATATAATTACAAAATTAATGCAGTAACGTATGTAGAGTTTACTCACCACCCAGATCACACCACACGAACTTGTAGTCTGAGTCGACAATTCCCAGTAAGATGATGCTGTAGAAACCCTTATAATTATAATATAAGGAACCAGAGCTATTAGGCTTTCTGATGGCTATGTGTTTGCCATCAATTGCAGCAACGCAATTTTGAAAGTTCCACTTCTCGAGGAAACCATCAGCCAATTGTTTCCATTCTTCAGGTGTGGAGGGGGCTGTCATGACCTCATCAACATATTTGTCACATATAGCTTGACAGACTTCTTTTACCACTACAGAGAGGGTATTCTCAGCAACCCGCCAGGAGTACTGCATGTCAGAGTACTTGGCACCAGAAACCAGGTGGCGAATAGTGGCAGCTAGTTTGAGGCCTGGACCTAAAGGCTCTCTGTACCAGCTATGTTGTTTCCATAGCCGAGGACGGACCCTCTCAAAGATTTCGTCATACATTTCTGTTGGCATACAGAGGAACTTTTTGAATGTTCTGGGGTCCTCTCTTCTCAGCTCCACCATGAGCTGATCATATATGCCGAATTGGCGCCGTCTCTCTGGATTCAACCATTGTCTCCTCCAGATGCCACGTCCTCTGGGTCCCCTTCTCCGCCTAAAACGGCCTCTGATGAACTCATGAATGTTAAGTTGCTGCGTTAAAACTTCTTGCTGGGCCATAGCAGCCACATACTGCAGCCTCAGTCGATCTGTGTCTTCCATGACAAAATAATTATTTGATTTAATTTGGTATTCTCTCAATTATTCAGCTTAACGTAGATCCAATTCGTAAGTATTCGTTCCACTGCGTACAAGGTTGCAAACTGCCGCAATGGTTCGTAATGGGATCGTCGTCAGTCGCTTGACATGCAAATTATGGGGATACGACCTTATCCCCAGCGACCTGTAACGTCACTTGACGAAGCCAATGCGAAGGTTAACCGATCGTTAACGCATTGAAACGGATTTCAACGAATGACACACGAAACTTTTATTCGCTGCAATTTTTTGAACATGTTCAAAATTTTCCGACGAATTTGACTAATTTCAACCGAGGTAAACGCTGACAAACGCATCTATACGAACACTGCGACGTACTGTCACGAACTCGTACTAATGAGAACGAATTTGACTAATTTCCTATTCGCCACTATACGCAAGTTGACGTAAAGGGGTTTTCGTTCATATGTGAGGGGGGCTTAAAAGTGTCCAAATTCAATTCTCTAAAGCAGCGTTTACGCTAAAGCTGTAGCTCGGTGCCCGCATTCGGTTCTCCATAGCAGCGTAACGCTTAAAATGTCCACATTCAGTTCTCTAAAGCAACGTTTACGCTAAAGGTGCAAGTGTTCACGTCAACTTCTTTGATTTGCGAATCAGCTCACCGACTTAGGAAACCACCTGCAGAAATGTAAGTCGAATCGTGTAATTGTTTACGATTTTAGGAAAATTGTAATCTAAACTATCCAGTTTTTCAAACTATTGCGTTAGAAACATCGTTTAATTCCTTTGAATTTAAAAAGATAAAACATGACATTGCTTTTAAGAATTGCATATTTCATGATGAAAAAACAAGTGATTTTAGACAGCCATATCTTTGACGTGGAGCATTTCCCATTATGAATAAATGCGACATTTCTCATTAAAACAAAGTTTCGCCCCAAGCAAAGCCCCAGGATCAAAAGTATCCAGTCGACCTCTGGTAATCCAGGATTTAGGATCCAAACTTAACACGTTTTCAAAATATAGAAACTGGTTTCTAAAATTTGATCTTATTTCATTGGTTTTGTAAATAATATACTGACGAGATAGTAGTCTTGACTGATACATATAAACTTTACTTGAACCTTTTTTTCTGTTAAAAACTTGAAAATTGTATATTAAAAAAGAATTAACGTACGTGTATATAAACAACTACCTGATTTTCTGTGTTTATTAAATATATCCATTTTACCGTTAAATGGTAGGAATAAGTCATTGCTTTTACAATAACCAATCCCCTAGGCTCATGACTAATTATGTGAGTGGTCAGAATATGATCATAGCTTTTATATCATTGTAGGCGTCCACGAGCGGCTTGTTAATTAATTACGTTTGGGGTATGGGTAGAAGTCCATTACTTCTACTAGTTGGTATACACGCAATGTCAAATAGAAATATGTTCTCCCCCTCAACTTTAACATCCAGAAAATGTTGCATAACTTTTTTGTCTGTATGATATCTGAATTGTTCTTTAGCATCTTAAAATAAGCTTCATGGAGCAACTATACAAGAAGTTCCAGATGGCTCGCTCAACTAGATGCACTTCTATGCAAAAAAGTTCATTCTTGAAATCAAGAGCCGGGGAGAACATATTTATTTGACACCCTGTACATGTCTCTTCAAAGGATTTTGAATTGCCACTAGGACGGCTCTTAGAAAAATCACCTCAGGGACTACAGCAAATTAAGTGTCAAGATTATCGAAAGGTATATTTTAGAGAGATTTCGCAACTCACTTGTGGGCATGTTTATCATTCCCGTATATACGTATAATTTATGAAGCGGTTAATTTCGTCATCATATATTGCGCAGCTCTATACGTCCATAAGTGTGATAGTAGAGAGGTTAAGCAAATACGGTTTTTCAAAACGTATACGTAAACGCAAAGTACATTGAATCAACATAGGCTTGTATCGCTTTAGTCTACTTCAGATACCCGTTCAACTTCAAAGTTGCGTGTTTAGAACGGGAAATTTTAAATTTTCACGTTGCTATCAACGGGAATCATTATACTCATGTCTGTTGAATACTATCCTTGCAATTTTGATTTCGATGCAGAGTATAATTCTTTCTGAAGAAGATGATGTATGTTACGCATGATTTAACTCCAATAATCTTACGAAACGAGCTCGTTTAAAATATGTATTAGAAAACCAGCTATTGAACTTCATCAATGGGATTCATTACAAGCTATGGTATAGTCTAAACAAACACTAGAGCTGAACGGCTATTTATGTGTGAACTCTACATGTATTTGTATAGGGCAGATTGATACGTTTAAGTTGCGTTTTGGATTTTAAACGGTAGCTTAACCTCTCCACTCTTATAAATCGTCGTCTATAATATCATATAGACGTACATGCACAGAGCTTTACCCCAGAGTTCAAAGATGACATACGCTTATAATGTAAACCTGTATTGAGATGACCCACGTCTCTGATTGGTCAAAATCGACAAACAAAAATGGCGGATTCAAAATTTTCTAATAACGCTTCGAGTAATATTATGTTTATTTCTGGCGTGTTAACCAATATCATAGCTTGTTATTTCACATCAAGATAAATAAAGATGTAAGGAATATGCTCAAATCGATTAAAACATCACAACGACGCGTTATATTCGAAAACTTACTGGTGAGAATTTGCGCAAACGAAGATGGTACGCAAGAGACGTAATATGTCAGTCATCGCTAAAGCGTTGGGGCTTTCCCTCCTCTTGTTGTACGTTATGTAAGTCATAAGGGAATAATAAACATGCAATAAGTGAGTTGCGAAATCTCTCTAATAGACAAAATATAACTCTGAGATATATTTATGTAAATGGGCGTGTGGAAGGCCCGTGGGTGGCAATTAAATAACTCGAACTTCAAATTAAAATATATATAAAATAGTATATTTCAAACTTCAATGTTCAAAATACAATGCTCTGTAATGTACAACATTAACTCTTACAACAACTACTGACAAGCCAACACCCAAACTCAGCTACATGTGAGTGAGAAAGACCATATAAGGGAACAATAGATATATAAAACTGACACAGTTTGCATAGTTGAATAACTGGTTTCAATAAAAGGTGATGGTATTAAAAGAGTAAAACTGCAAACAACCTACTTAGGGACCTGTTATATTGAGATGAATAGGGATTGATTAATATGAACAGTAATAATATAAAATGTGAAAATGACCATGTTACATTCACGCGGACACGTCCTAATGCGTCCCGCATTAAGCCTAACTCGGCCATGAATAAAGAAAATGTAAAACTTCACTTATCAAAATGGTTAACAATAAATATTAAGCAATGGTGTAACCTCCCCTTTAACATCCACTACCAGAACAAAACATAGTATAAAGAAAACCATGAAGAATATAGTGGAGTGTCTAAGAAACAAAAATAAATTGAATAACAATACAAGATAATAATAGTTAAGTAACATCAGACTTGATGTAGATTACCTGATTATACAGTTGTTGATTAAGAATACATTTATATTTACCTCACATTGACTGTTCATCATTTCACTTTAGTACATCATACAATTAATCATTTAGGCACAGTGAAATACACTACAGTACTAGCACCATTAGTTAATATAACACCACTTGGGCAAGTCGTTGGCACCATTAAGGCTAAGAACACCATTAAGGTAAATGCAACACCATTATAGGCTATTATAACACACCATTTAGGGCTAATATTTGATAAACACCTTTAAGGCTAATGTTTGATAAACACCATTAAGGCTAATATTTGATAAACACCATTAAGGCTAATGTTTGATAAACACCATTAAGGCTAATGTTTGATAAACACCATTAAGGCTAATATTTGATAAACACCATTAAGGCTAATATTTGATAAACACCATTAAGGCTAATCACCACAAATGAGTATAAATGTAGATGCAGTATGTAAATATTTGTCATCAATTGGAGGTAACAGGTAATCAACACCTGTCCATTTTAACATTAAAATCCATCTGATCCAGTTTAGAATTCGAAATAGCACTGTTGGGATTTGAACCCATTCCAATAATATTGAATCCCAGTTTCCAAAAATCAATAGAATGACTTGTGTGTTCATAATCTGGTATAATCATTGTACTTGGCACAGACTTTGAGATAGTCTCCTTTAATTCAGCATTTCGTTTTTGTATCAGCTTGGAGTATTCACTTTTCTGAGATGAAAGTGCATTGATTTCAGCCTGCGATGTGTGTAATTCCTTCTCTAATGAGACTATCTGTTTCTTCTGGGATTTGATCCGCGATTTGAGGTCTGCTGTTTCACTCTGTAGATCTTGGATTTTTGCTCTGTAAATGTCATTTCCATGTTTCTGGCCGAAAAGTTCACTTTCGATTCTTTTGTAGTCTGCCATCACTCTGGTGTATATATCCATGTCAACGGTTGCAGCTTGAGCATACTTATTATGGCACTTCACAGGTTTTATATTTGCTTGGACAAAAACAGAATTCACCTTTGGCTTAGCTGGTGTAGGAGCTGGTGTAGTTGGGTGGTCTTTATCACGGTGTCCAGTCAAATTACATCTTGAGCAGAAGTGATGTGTTGCCTTGTATAAGTTACAAAAGGCTTTCCGATGTCCTGTTCGTTTGCAATGCCAACAAGTCATAACTTTTGTGGAATGAGGCATAAATGTTTGAAGATTTTTGAACCGTCCTTTCAAAGTGTTCAGTTCATCAAAATAGTTATCCATAATCGATGTTAGTTTGTCGATTGCAGATGTCACGTATCTCCAGTTAGAATCTGCCATACTTTGTTTGTCAAAAGTTTCTGATGATACTCCTTATATTTTGCTCAAACCACTGTTCTTGCTGCTTCAACTAGTCCAATTGCCTACCCCACTCCTGGTACCAATGTAAATGGGCGATGGAAGGCCGTGGGTGGCAAATAATAAAACGTAAGATTTAAGTAAAATGTCTCAAAAAATATATATTTCCAACTTCAAAACACAGTGTTCTGTACTATACAACATGAACTCTTACAACAACTACTGACAAGCCAACACCCAAACTCAGCTACATGTGAGTGAGAAAGACCATATAAGGGAACAATAGATATATAAAACTGACACAGTTTGCATAGTTGAATAACTGGTTTCAATAAAAGGTGAAAAGTGAACATGGTATTAAAAGAGTAAAACTGCAAACAACCTACTTAGGGACCTGTTATATTGAGATGAATAGGGATTGATTAATATGAACAGTAATAATATAAAATGTGAAAATGACCATGTTACATTTACAATAACGAAAATGGTGGGCATATGTGTAGGCCTAAGTAATTGTTTTCAAAATGTTCGATTCGATTTTAAGCAGTCTTCCTTTCTAATAGTTTGAATTTGCTTCTTTAACAAAAGTATCATTTATTTATAGTTGCTAATTTATACATCACGTGTCATGAAACTGTTTTTATTCTTTTCACTTATTTATTTATTTATTTATTCATCAAATCACCCCTTATAGGATATATAAAGAGTACAATATACTTAACTAAAAAACATTAAAATAACATTAATTATTTTTTGCCCAGCCTCGATCAGGAATGAGAGTTTTGTTTGCTTTCAAGCACAAGCTAAACACGTCTTGTAAACTGCCTTGACTTTTAATATTATGGATGTAGAATACCACCATACATGATCGCATATATATGATATACACCCTCCCGAATTCGTGTGGAAATATGAAGTTCAAGATGACTTTTCGGGTCACATAACATGTCAATATAAGAAAAAGTTCCTATTAACTTCAATATTCATTAGATACGTATATTGAATCAATTTTCATTTCATAGTATATTTTTACTCACTAGTATATTCCATATTATTCATAGTTCTATAGATTATGAGTTTCAAACTTAACAATGGGAGTGTAGTTCAGTGAAAGCGAGATTAAATATTAAGTAAAGAGCTATCTGTTTCTGATATAATATCTACCAAGTTCCGAGTCTTTGGACTCTGAAGGTAAAGAAAGGATTAGCTATCGAATGATCTTCCCATTGTATACATTTAACCTTAGTATATGATCTTAGATGAACCTTAATTTGAGCCGATTTTGTCTTGTGATTGTCTCAATACATCCGAGGGTGTAAATTTGCCATTCAAAATTACGTAGGTAAGTGGATTTTTATATTTTTAAATAGAATATGGGTGCTTAATTAATCCCAATAATATGAATACTGGATAGTTCATAGCAGACGTGTTATTGTTGTCATTGTGTATGTTTTATAAGGATTGACTAATCTTCAATTATGTAAGTCTTAGACGTAAAACTTCCAACAAAGTTACATGTCATGAACGCAAGATGCATGTTGTTTCGAACGTTTCTGTTTTACTTATTGAATCTCCGATAGTTGGAAAGACCACAACAATACATATCAAAAATAACTTACTGATCTAAAGTATCGCCCAAAGTTTTGATTTATGTATACCTTATAACAGATGGCATGGAAGTAAAATTATGCTTCTTTAGTTGTTTTATTAAATAACATCATCATCTCATTTCATTTTATAATTCGTTACACAGGTATTCAAGATGACCAGACTATTGGTACCTGTTGCTATTGTAACGCTTGTTGCCATAGTGAATGGACAAACCGTTGCTCCTTTGTGTACACCCGCCCCAACAACACCATGTAAGTATGTTGTATCTTGACCACGACTAAATGAGAAATTGGTGGTCTTGTGGCAGCATTTTAACGGCAAAGCATCCTTAAACCATCACTAAGCATGCATCGTTGAACACAAATTCTCATGACCAAAACTTTTCGCATGGAGATTGGCATCCTTCATAAAAATAGACAATCCAGGATCCAAGCAGTATTTCTAAGCTCACATTTAATATTTTTGTAATGGGGGAACATATGTCACACTCTTTTAAGTGGCTGTATTAGGCCATCTATCAGGAGTTTTACTATTAGTATCCCTCAGCCAGGTGTCATGCACTTCTTATTCAACAATCTCTCAAATGAGAAGCCCCTTATTTTATCCCCGTGTCGTACATTGTTTGACTTTCTTTAGCTTGGATACACCGGCACTTGTAATCATTTTTTTGACTGACATCAATGAGAGACGTGTTTACAGGTAGAGTATTTATCATAACAGAATAAAGTAACTATCAATGACGAAAAATCATTTTTGTCCAAGACGAATAAATATAAACGTTTCTGAAAGGTTATGACATAGTTTTCCACCATTCGGCATGTTTCAGCCAAGCCTGCCCCTGGATTTCCCTTGAACTACCAAGCCAAGATAGAGGCCAGTTTCAAACAGCGAAATTGGACGTTTGATTTCGATGAATACTACGACTACACTGGGAACAGACAGGCCGTCCATCAAAGGTCAAAGTTTTTTGACAATAAGTTTATCCAGAATTATGACAACAGTGAAATTTTTGCAATAAGTAAGTGTTTGTATTTTGCACGGGCTCGTTTTAGAACTGCATACAATGCAACACATGTAATATAAGATCACCGACAAACCCACTGCAGTTTATTATTGTTTGTTCCGCAATTACACAAATCCATCACATTGATAAAGATAACATTTTTTGAAATGTCGGAGAAACAAATGTCGGAGAAACAGGTCTATGCTATCCAATTTGAGAGTTGGTGCTGAAAATGTAAATTTCCGTAAGCTCCTTTCACGAGATCAGAGCACCATGCTTACCAAACAAGTACCTGTACGATAAAACGTTGCGGCAATGCTGAAAAGAATTGTCTATTAATTCCTTTAGGATCACTTTGTAGAATACACGGTGATCCAAAAGGAAATACACCATCATAAGAATCACTTTGATGTTCCACAAATAATATTTTAACATTTAGTACAGGGTGACATCGTGATCTAAAATTATTTAGTTCTTTGCTTTTGTATATTTTAGACTATATGGAGGGCACATGCAACTCATATAACATAGATAAAATACCCGAAGGATTTCAAAAATTCCTCGGCACGAAAACTCCCGATGGCAAATTCCACATCTTTAGTAGTTCTGATGTTCTAAAGTTGGTCGCTGAATCCCAGAGCTACAAAGGGATCGCCAATATCAGGGGCATTAACTGCGATTGGTGGCAGGTGTGTAAAGTGTTCGGAGACAGTGGCGCTATTATGGAAGTTGATTTCTATTATGCGGGTAGGTCGCTTTCGAAGTCCCCTTATAGTTTGTAAATACCCGGGGAATGCTCTATACGAAACACTTATGATCAGCTATGATCCAATGTTTCCTGTATACTATAATTTATACTGTTAGGTTATATTTTTACTATACATGTACATGACAAAAGGAAAGTGCGATGAGTCCAAGAATTTTTTTAAAACAAGCACGACCCATTTAACGTTTCATTTGTATTCCAGCAAAAGATAAATGGTACCTCCCAGTTGCAAATCCCACTGAACAGTACCCGGTACAGATCCACGTTAAGGGGACCTTTGTTAACCCAATCTTCGGCACGACTTTCAACTTTGAGAATTCTTACAATTTCCTTCAGTTTAGACCATTGGAAGTTGGAGACTCCATGTTCATGGTAAATATTCGTTAAAGTTAGGTTTTTTTTGCAATTTGGAAACGCCATCATAGAAAATATACGTTAACGTCAGTCACGGTTATATATTGACGCATGTCGGGTACTTCCAATGAGCTCCATTCTATGATTAATGCGGAATACCAGTCTAGTTATCCTATGGTCTGTTGACGAGATAACTCATTCATAACCCATTTTAATAAAGAAAATGACAGTTCATGCTTGTTAAATCATTACAATATATATAGACTGCTAAGATTCTACCTAGGCTAATTATGTTTCTTAATACATTCGTTGCAGACAGACAGGGGGTTGGTGTGTAAGAATAGGAAGTCGGTGAAGCCTGTGCCTTCCCTCCCTGATGCGTTTACCTTCAGAGTAGAGGTAGTCGATAACAACAAGAAAACTGTCTCGCATGTCCACGTAAGTCCAAAACTTGATACATATGATAAATATTATATGTCTATATACCTTTTAATATTGTACGTAGCTTGTATTTGGTGCTGGGTAGAAAATCATCGTCTTAATCTATTTTAATGTTAATTGCTGAAATAAGAGGGAGTTTAAGCTTGTATTTAAAATCGAAACGTCAACATATACGTATGACCAATCGCCCACACAAATGCATCGCTTAAATATTTTCCGTTCACGTTTGGGTTGTGAAAAACATTGCAAGCTTAACTCCCTAATATTATTTTAAAACTTGCAAAGTAAATGTCTGTGCATCAAATAAAAGAAACGCAGCTAGTAACCGCTGAACAATTAACAAACAACAAATTGGTCTTAACTAAACAAAGATTCAAACGTAGGTAAGTACACAATGGCCCGTCTGCCCCTCTTCATGCTACATGTATATACATCGTGAAAGAGTAAGACGTTTGGATACCACAATGGATAATACAGATCATCGTCGTCATCAACTTCAAACTACAGATTTACTTGTATTAATAATGTTGGTTTCATTTCCAGGAATGGTACGATAATAGCCAAGGCTTGTTCCGTATTGATTACGCCAACCGACAAGGAGACGGCAACCCAATACGTCGTATTCATGATTTTAACACAGGTACAGTGAAACGTTCTGGTAAAACACCCTCATGAAGGGAACCACCTCGCAAGTCTTCTAACATATAATTACCCATAATGTTTTTGGAGCTAAACCTTTGTAAGTGTAAGTGAACATTCCGTCACAAAATGGCTGAAGATGAAGCAAAAATCCTCGGGTGAAGGGAAGCAAAAAAGAAGCGAGAAATTTTAGAAGTCACAAATCTGCAAAAACTTAATCTAAAAAAACTGAAACATTGACCGTTGTTTAGCTCATTTGCATAATGATGATAATTAAACGTTTATGAAGGTGAAAATTAATCGTTAATTAGAGGTGATAGTTAGCTCATTTGCATGTGAATTTTTACATCTAACTATCAACTAATTATCAATAGTAAGTTAGTTGATAATTAGAGATTAACTTTCATCAAACTTACAACTAACTTTCACCTAATTTACGTAAATCAGTGACAATCGACCACTATATAGCTCATTTGCATATCGATGGTAGTTCACCGTGAATTAAGGTGCAAATTAAGCGTCAATTAAGGTGATAGTTAGCTCATTTGCATGTGAATTTTTACACCTAACTTTTAACGAATTATCAATAGTAAGTTAGGTGATAATTGGAGATGATTTTCCATAGACTTTTTTCAATTGTGTATCCCCCGGGCGTAGCTGTAATCTAAAATATCCTTGTTACTGTTTCATTTTAGGTGTTGCTTACGTTATTAATAAATTTAGCGGAAATTGCACCGCTGAGCCAATCCGACCAGTCGGATTGGATGTAGAAACTGTAGACGACGCATTGAACGTTAGAATACGTACAGCTAAAGAGTTCTTTGACTTTGAGGGTGTCAACTACACGTACGAAGGCATGGTGAGTTTTGTAATCATACTTTCAAGACAGCAAAGTATGGATTTTGAAAATTAGCGTTTTCCGTATGTGCAATAAAACTTTCAGAACGACATCAAAACCATAGATGTGGCAGTGGCATAATTACTGTATTTGGAGCAGTGGATTATTGACTCAATGATGGTTGAGCTTTAAGTCCTATGTTCCCATGATCCCAAAGCACGGCGTCTATAAATTACGTCACCCAAGGACATCAGAGATCTCCTAATTAATGTTATTTTTAATGATAGCTCTTTATATATGTGCATGTTTAACTTTCAGCGTATAGTAAGGGATGTTCCAACTGACGTTTGGATTGCAAAACGTAAGAATTGGCCTAAAATCTTCAATACTAATTCCACATGGGAATGGTTCTTTACAAACGTAAGTTATACCAGAACGAAGCATAGTCAGTAATGTCAAATTAAAATTGATTTACTTTTTAAAGGATTTGGGGACATTTTACAAATGAGTTGCATCCCGAAATTCCAATGATATGTAGTGTTAAGTAGCTAGTATTCGCGAATGCAACTTTCCAATGTAGCCTACAGTCGAAAGTTGCATTCGCCCGCGAATACAACCCTAGGACATTTGTGTTTGCCGAATTCGAGAATATCACAACAAAGTTTATTGGTTATGAATGTTTTCTTTTCAGAAAGATGTCGTTGTAAACACAGGAACGGAATTCGAAGGTGTAGTACCATGGAGACTAGAGGTGTTCTCAAAGGAGGTATAGTCAAATCCTTATTGTTAAAGCATTCTAGCCAAAGCGTGCTATGGTCCCCGTGTGCCTTTTGGACTTCTAAACAGGGTGCAGCTCATTGATCTAATGCTGTACGAGTAGTGCCTGATTAGTATATTTTGTCCACTCATATTGTGCTCGTTTCAAACAGGTTTATAAGTGCGATGTTCTTCTTTATTTGACCAAATACTACAATTTCTATTGTAGTTTGAGTTGGACATCATCACCAACTTTTTCGACTTCAAGGAAGGAAGACAAGAAGTATTCGAATTTGACATCAGTCCTTGTTATGTCAATCTGAAGCGGCAAGATTTCCAATTCGCCTTGAAAGGTTTGTATTATTATGACATTAAAAATCCTCAAATTTTTGATAAAAAATGAAGTTACCAGACAAAAAATTACGGTTGAAAATGTTAAAAGTGTCCCATTTAAGCCCTCGTTAACTAAATGGCCATAAGGCTTTTTATAAATGACTAGGCTTATGGCCAACCAAAATGACTGAATAAACCCATGAGGACTTAGATTTGCTCTTGATCTTCTCATGTCACTGACCTAATTACTATAGGCTAAAAAACACATTAAGATTATATGCCTGTTCTGGTATCCAATGGCAGTGACAATAGAATACAACATGATATAATGTGTGTAATGTATGGACATTGATTAGTTACATGATAACCAGCTCTGATATCAAATTACATATGCCTGGTACTCGTTTTGTATCTTAGGTGTGGTAAGATAGGTAAAATGTTTCTTTCAGGTAATCCAAAAGACCTGATAGGCCCGGTGGGATTGAGGATTTTCCGTTATCTCACTCTTATATCTATTCAGGGGGCCGCAGTCATCTCTCCCATCAGAATTGCTAACTTGAGGGTATAAAACTTATTTTTATTCTAAATATATAATATTTGGTATACGGTCAAACCAAACATGAAATAATTTACTCAACAGATTTGAATTATGTGTTTGTGATTGGTAAAAGTGATAACAAGGCATTAAAATGACAAATTGTAGATGATTAAGAAAAAATTCAGTCTAAAAGTCAGTCTACATAGTATTTTTGGAATTTTTTAGTATTTTTGGAAGTTTTGGGGAATTTGTTACGGATGCCAACTGGCGGACAATATCCGCCGTCACAAAAATGGAGACCATAATAATAGACTAGGTGCGAGTAAAAATAATCTTGATTTACGTCATTATATATTCAAAATTCAGTCAAACTGATGTCATATTTGAAATCTACGTGAAAAAGTACTTCTTGAAATATGATTTCGAAAATTATGTATCAACTTTGAAAATTAAATTTGTTTTGAAAATGTGACTTCTAGTTCGGGTTGATACCCCATAGACCCCATGTTACAAAATCACAAAAAGTGAAATATATTTTCTTGTATTGGACAGATAACATTTTCCTTTTCTGGACATATCTTAATTTTCATAACTATTAGATACATAAGGGTTATATGAGAATTGAACCACTAAAACAGATGTAATTTAAGTTAAAGGGAACTTTCTACTATACCCGCCATGTTATCTGACCCGAACGAGCCACCTGGTGGTGAAATTGGTAACTTCCTACTCGCGTCTATGTTATTGCCACTACTTACTTACTTTTTGGTGGTGATATAAAAAGTGGCCGTAAATACAGTATATTACAGGTGCACACGGATCGATCCAGGAGCATCAATCGTCATATTTGCTTTCAGTTTGATGTTGACGGCAGTGAAAAGATCATAGTGATGTTTACTATGTTGGACAAGGCCCCAATCAAGGGTAGTGTTGAGATGAAGACCCCTGAGCTACCTATTGAAGAAGCTGCAAAGGGACTCACTGATTATATCAACAATGGCCAGTTATCCATTCTGGTACCAGACTCCACAAATTCAGACAGTGGGGTACGTAATTCATTCTAAGGTCGTTGCCAAGTAGTAATTTTGTACATGCCAACATGTATGATTGGTCCGCCGGTCGGCCATACTTCCTTCTCGACATTTGGCGTCTGCAGTGACAAGTCACACTTTTGGAAACATTTGAAGATGGTGATAAATTGTCATCCTAGTTTGTTTAAAATTTTATTTTAGTTAAAGTGTCTGGAATATGATGCGACATCATTCTTTCAAATATTTCCCTTCGCAATCTTTTGACGACATCCACAAGAACAGATAGTAGGCCTTGAGATGTCCAGGTTAAAATCTCCCCCACTCTCTGTGTACCGAAGGAAATATTTTTCGCTGGTACACTCACAGAGACCGGCCGCGGGGATTAATTTTCTTATCGAGAGAACTCAACAATCTGTTCCGGTGCCTGTGCGGTTGACTCGGCTTCTTTAAGACTAAGAATATAGTTTCGTCTTGATCCTGACCTAATTTTAGAATTAACTTTAATTTTTTAAAGCTCATCTAGAGACTATGTGATCAATCATAGAACAATCATTAATCATTATCTCTTGTTAGCTCCACTAGTTTAACATGGTTCGTTTCTATCCAGGTGAAGACAGTTGTAGCAGAGCCATACAGTTTTAAACAAATCGTACGGGACCCTGGCTGTAAAAATAATGAACAAATCTTGCCGCAGACTGCAGCAGGTCCTAGCGTGGGAGTGGTAGCCGGAGTCTCCGCAGCACTGGTTATTCTTGGTTCCGTTCTTGGAATCGTCGCCCTCTGGATGGTCTGCTTCATAAAACAGAAGCCAAATAGCATCAAAGAAGTCAAGATTGTTGGATCTCCAACAAGTACTGCATAATGGAGATAATTTGATATTGATATTAATGATTTCATACAGACTGCAAATACTACACACTTATACGATGACGTTCACAACCGGCCCTCTATAGTTTTGGGCAACCGGCGTCTACAAGCATGCTTGCGAACCTGTTGGAGGGGAGCGTATATACACAGTCCACATTCAGTGATTATTAAAGAGCTGATGCATAGCAATCTAGCAAAAATGCAAACATAATATGATGTATGACTTTTTGGTATAGGCTTACACTTTTTCAGTTACTCTGAAGAATGACAGTTGTTCAATTCGTTTTTGGATTTATTTTTATATGTGGAAGGTGGATTAGGCTATTATTAATACAATCTACCGACGCTATATGACTGTTTTGTGTTACTTTATTGTGTCTTGATAACATGATAATATAAAATAAATATGTCGAAGGAATAAACATTTTTTTATAATGAATACAAGCGATCCGGTTTTAGTTTTTTTGGTACGTGAGATGCAGAATGAGGGGAATGAGGGATACCGTATACACTGGGGAGTATCGTGATGCAACAACACCGTGTTGTTGCATCAAGATGGCCAGACTTCCGGTGATAGATTTTCGTACGATATTTTGTTTCCCCAATTAAACCCATTTCTAGGACGAGTTGCTCAATAACCATACACGTGCAGTTAGCGCACGATCTATATTTAAAGAAACTGTCATTAGTATACATGTACCATCACCAAGAAGCAATAAGTTCACGGTTTTAGTTCCTCACTATTGATGCAACAACACCAAACCGAAGATGCAACAACACTCCTCTAGATTTGAGGAATGATGCAGCAACACCAATTAATAGTATAATTTCAGAAGACCATAAATCTCGAGTGGAACAGATTTTTGCGTTCTTCTCATGGCATTCAAAATACACTTCCTGCGGGCGAAGATCATTTATATGTGTTTTCAAAAAATTTATACTTTTAAACATTATAACGTTCTGGACGTTGTTCTATAACATAGTTCAATCGCCTTTAACATGGCAAGCTTTAGTAACCCAATCTATTTTCATAAACCACTATTCCATAGCTTGATGACCCTGACTCCAGTTAGTATCATTCAAAATGGTGGACAAACATCTTTCGTTCTCGGTAAATATGATGAGCTATTGGAAATTATCTGTCATCCATCTGTGGAACAGTGATAAACTAGTAGATTTACGTTACCACTGTTTATCAAATTATAACTAAAACAGTTTAACTGTGACATTCGTGAGCTTACATGTATGTTGATGGGATGATTGTTTCATCTATGATATAATATGATATGATTCTTTATTTCCTCCAATTTGGAGAGCCAACGTGTAAAACGTCTAATTGACTTTATTAGAGAAGCCGTTTAGTTACACGTTTAATGGAAATCTTGAACGACGCACATGTAGAATTATTGCTCTCTTTGGATTCCTTCTCTCCGACTGAGTAAAAAGGTAAACAAAAGTGATAAGATTAAGGGCCCAAAAAGGTAAATTGATAGGGGTACAGTTATCCCAGATATCCCGGGCCCTCGGGAAATATCATATTGTCTCTCGGAATAAAACCAATATTGAATTCCTCTCAGTAAATAACCTCTATATAATAGCAACTGCAATATCATTAAACCAATACTCATCCTATACATCTCTTGAGAACGATGTACAACTCCTGGATAGCGTAAACTCCTGAGCAGCGTATACAACTCTTCAACTTGATATATGACATCATACTTTGGGTGGGATAACAAAGGATATACAATATACAATTGTAGACCTCTCTTGAGGTCAACTGGCAAAATTGTATACCGATACTGTAATCCTTGAAAGTTCGGAGGTCGAGGTCAACAGTACTCTCAGGGTTTACTGTTGAGGTATACACTTTGGCCAGTTGACCGAATAGAGAGGTTAACAATTGTTTGTTAGTCCGAAGAATATAATAATTTGAAAGAAATAATATACAATTGTAGACCTCTCTTAAGGTCAACTGGCAAAATTGTATACCGATACTGTAAACCTTGAAAGTACTGTTGATCAAGACCAGAGGTCGAGGACACTTTTGCCAGTTGACCGAAAAGAGAGGTTAACAATTGTTCTGTTAGTCCAAATAATATAATAATTGGACGAATATATAATCGAATATCACGTGAACATATTTTATAAGTAAAGGTATCATATTCTAGCAAAAAATCCCAAAACCGTCGAATACTTGTAATTTTTGCACAACTTATTTTTTCAAAATTAAAAAAATTTCAACATTAAAAAACAATTTTTCAAAAATAGGGGTCAACAGTACCTAGTAGTGGTCAACAGTTTACAATTGTTGACCTCCCCAGAGGTCAACCGGCAAAATTGTATACCGAGACTGTAAACCGAAAAACTACTGTTGACAGAGACTGAAGGTCGAGGTCAACAGTAGTTTCAAGGTTTACAGTCGAGGTATATGATTTTGACGGTTGATCGAATGGAGAGGTCTACAATTGTTTTGTTAGTCCGAGTAAACTAATAATACACATATAGACGACAATCATCAATCGGCATGGCTTCATTTCACAACCTTTTCTCCGAACCACGTTAGCAATATTTTTTTTAGAAAATCTGGAGACAGTGCAAGTAGCTTAACTCTGTATTTGGCACATCACGGCGTACTCGTTAGTGAATTAATGTTAATTTTAAGTTTCTATTTGTATTTTTGCTATACTAGTCGCCCAGTAAAGTCATTCTCATCCAATAATCACCCAATTAGAATCGAGTATTTCAGTTGAGGTACTAACAATACATTTTGTTGACCGCTCATCAACCAATCAGAATTGAGTATTTCAATTGAGGTACTAACAACACAAAATGACTGATATCTGTTGTCTTTCCAAAATTATATTAGTTATTTGTAAACAATTTCCATACGGTAAATCAAGGGCATTTAATTTAGAAAATGTATAATCTTTATTTTTCAGATACAATATCAATGAGATTGCCTCCCGGGGATTCAGTACTTTATTTAGTTTGCGTTGTATATCCTTTTAACTTTGATATAGACAAAGAAACCAAACAAAATACGCTTCGTTCATGGACCACTGACTCACGCGTTTTATTCATGTCCCGACCTACACCTGTAAACAGAACATAAAACAGTTTCTCTTGTTGTTCAATGATACATTATATTGGCGTTTTTGCATCAGCACATTGGTGTTGTTGCATCATCGATAAGAAACAGAGTGGTGTTGTTGCATCAATAGTGAGGAATTAAAACCACGAATTTATCGCTTCTTGATGATGCTACATCTATACCAATGACAGTTTTTTAAAATACAGATCATAACCTAACTGCATGTGTATGATTATTGAGCAACTCGTCCTAGAAATGGGTGTAAATTGGGAAAACAAAACATCGTACGAAAATCTATCACCGGAAGTCTGGCCATCTTGATGCAACAACACGGTGTTGTTGCATCACGATACCCCCCAGAGCACTCTATGCAGACTGCTATAGGACTAAAACAAGCGGTGTGGATATCATGTGCGCAACGTGCGGATATTAACAATCATTTTTGAATTTGATTTCGTGATATTTCACCAACTAGCTAAGACATGTTGGGTACTCAATTATATTGATACATGTGTATATACAGGTTCCCTAATAAAAAGGAAATTGTGTAAATAGGTGTGTAGTTCGTTCTGTAGCGACACATTCAGCGATAGTACTCTCTCCAAAGCAACACTACTATACCTTGCGCTTGGTATCCATGAGCAACCCAACTAAACAATACAATTGGACAAAGAGAGTTACAGAGTATCTTATACATTTCTAGGGGTTAGGTATAGTAAAGTGAGCAAATATTATTTGAAATTGCAGCTGTTTCACAGCGCAAACAGCATCCATTCAATATCGAGATGACCTATCAATACATAAAATTATATTTGCATTTTGAAAGTTGAAAGATTTCTGTGTGATTTTATACAAAATGGGAAACATTAATTAAAGGTGCTACCTCTAAATAAGCGGTGCGGATATCCACGGATGTTTCCAATTTTTTTTTTAAATTCACCCAGAAAGTTTATGACTTTCAAAATGCAAAAATAATTAATATTGATTGGTCATCTCGACCACCAATACTGATGAAGGCTGTAAACGGTGTAATAAAGCAGCAACTTCACATTTTTTGATATGTAGCAAGGATGAATGCTTAATGCGTCTTTAAAGAATGAAGAATACATAGACACAATTTTCCTTTAATTAGGTCTCCTATACAAATGGATGACCATAATTGATCATGAGTACCCAACATGCCTTAGTTTATGAAATATCACAAATTCAAATTCAAAAATGACCGTTAATCCGCGCCTTGCCAACATGTTATCCAAACCGCATATTTTCGTATAGCACAGTCTGTATAGGGTACATGACATAATTACAAAATGAGATACATGTATGCAGCCGCAAACCTGCCATTCTGATTCTGGAACTCATCCATGTCGTCATCCCGCATGCCCGGCATGTCATCCCGGCATGTCATCGTCTTTCTGATTAAACTATGTAATAAAATTTGGTTTAGTATTCTCAGACTAAAGTAACATACTTGGATTGAATCTGGTCTCATCTGAAACCCATCATCATGTCTCTGTTTCACTAGCAACGTTTTCTGTCAGTATCTGGTCTCATCTGATGGGCGGAGTTTCACTTGTCAATTAAAGGCAGAATCAGATCTACAGGGGGTGACAAAAGAAAAATTCAAAGTGCAAAAATGGAGGAAAAATGTTCAAACTTCTTCCAAATAATTAAAATGGTCACCATGAAAAAAATAGTACAATATTGTGAAAATCTTTAGTTTCCCTGGAATAAAGTATGCACTTAGGGAATTTTTAGAAAATAAACATGACAAGGAATGCTATGAGCCCAAAATATTCTAAAATTGAAATCTGATTCTCTTTTTAGTATGGTGGTGATCACGTGGTCCTGTTTCGTGTTCTTTCACCTCACCTTCGCTCAAATGACATCAATTGAAGTATTAAAACTAGTGAACAAGGTAATTAATCGACTACAGCCTACCACCTGTCATCATTACCTTTAAATAGAGCATGGGTAGAGCAAGACAAGGACGTCCAAGTTAAACGTAAAAACTCAAGAACATTTTGACGTCAAGTATTTTGTCTCTGAAACAATTACCCTCTTAAATTCACGACAACTGAAGCTGTTGTTATTGATATGATGGTCCGTGTTAACCTCTTTAAAGTGGGAAAAACAAACAACTGAAACTGACTAAATGAATTTATAGTAAAGTTGATTGTTCCGGGTTCACCAAAGGGGTCATGTTATTGTTTTGCCTGTGGTGGCTTTCACTGGAAGACAAACTGCTACATTCTCGCTCATACACGTAATCAATTGTTATGTATAAAATCATTGTTTTAAATAAAGAATCTGTTATGAATCTAAATAATGATTATAATTATATTGATATGATATATCTGTTCTAACTCGAAGTGGAACTGGACTGTACATATACTGAATTTATTAGTAGTATTTATTGATTTCGTTTCAGTATTGGTTTTACTCTAGACATATTTATGCAAATCAGAGCCGGCGAACGTGATTGGCTCGTGATGACAGCATTTACCCACAAACACAGCTGTGCTTGAGCAAAACTTTTATTGAGAAAATGTAGCCCTGAGAAAATACACGAACATACACAAGAAGACTGCAATAGTTCAGTTCAAGAAATGTAGACAGATACAACAACGTACTCAACTACAACGAAGAGATGTTGCATACAAATCACAAGATGCCTTTTTTAGTAGCGAGGACGAACAGTGAAGTGCTGAAAATCGAGTTGGATTCCAAATCTATGGGAAATGTTTTGCTTGAAAAGGTAGGCTAAACACACCGCAAGTTGTTTTTGATATTTTATTCTTTATCATGCTATTTCGGAGTTTCATTTTTTACGACAAGACAATATTAATAGTCTGATGATACCCCTACTCATTGTACATTGCCTATCACCCAAGCATTTCGTCGTGAATTTGACTGGAAGCGGAATATTCAATTGACCTACTTTTAGAAATTGGTCAGCTGTTCTGAAGTAAACAAAGAAAATGTTTCAGCAACATTGTTTTTGCAATCATTTTACAGCGTCACTCCTATAACCAGAACTTTTCAAAATTTGATATGATATGGGCAATATAAAGTTTCACAATATACCGTGCTGTTCATTAGAATTGGCTCACTAGGTTTAGCAAATTGCTACACCAAAGTGGAGAACTTTTGGTTAAAATAAATCCAACATGGCAGCCGAGTGCTCATGTACCTAAATAAATGGATGACATCATGTATTTTCCAATTCCATTAGATTTTGCAATTTCAGTAAATTAAGAAAATTTTTTCCAATCAAGTTTTTCTGAAGATGGCAAATAATCTATTTCACATCTTAAATTACCAGTGACTCACAACCACATGGGCAACCCCTAGACCTTTGTGGTTATTGGCCCTGGATGGACTTGAAATTGTGTGGGTGTCGTTACCAATTGGCAAATAGATTTTGTTCAATACAGGTGGCTTTTGCATTGCCTACGCAAGACTTGTGTTTATCATGTGATTTTCAAGTATTTTTTAGAGATAGAACTGCAATTGTTGAAATATGACTCAGATACTAAAACAAAATAATATATCACTGATAATTCATCGCCCACTGATTCGGGAATTTTCTGACTTCACAATTTTAAATAATCCCACCAGACCTTATGCCATGTTATCTCAACATTTTTAAGTATTTTATCAGACCATAATTTATCTCTCTCGTGTCATTTCGCATGATCACCAGATATTTTTTTGTCTTTTGATGTCAACTTTAATACTGTATAATTTTTTATCAGAATCTGAAAGCCAACACTTGACAATATCGATTGTTATTAATGATCACTGTCATTGCCTGCATTGAATTCAGTGCCACTTTATAAATGTGCCTTGGGGCCCAGCCCCCCCCCCTTGGGTGGGCCCAGAAAAAAAATTGGGCCTAAAAAGGCCTCGAGGCCCTAAAAAGTGGGCCTTTTTGGTCATTACTGGGCCTTTTAAGGCCCTATTTTTTCAATTTCAGGCCTAATTTTGAAGAAAATGGGCCTCAAAATTTGGGCCCACTTTTGGGTTTTAGGGGCCCAAAACATTTTTTTGCGTGCAAGCGTGGACGTTTTTTACTCTGACCTGAAATTTGAGCCCCCCCTTGTTGGTTCCCAGATCCGCTCCTGATAGATCCCCATCATCATCAAAAATATATTCTTGTTGGCTGTTGGTCAGGTTATTTAATACCAGATCTAAATAACAACATAATCGGCCTCTCCCATTAACTCCTGAAGGAGAAATCTCAGTATCAATTCTGTTAGGACTGTAAAGAATTTAAAGCAGAAAGTGGGACTGTGGTATTAGATGTAACTAACTAGTATTACTCCTTGTTTTAGGTTTGTGAAAAACTGGGAATTATGGGTCCAGAGAGTGAATATTTTGGTCTGCAATACACAGGCAGGAAGGGAGAAAGCCTGTGGCTGAATACCCGCAACCAGATAGACCGCTGTCTCCAGGCTCCATGCAGGCTAAAGCTGAAAGTGAAATTCTTCGTCCAACCTCACCTGTTGTTACAAGAATCAACAAGGTATGGTTTGCATGGAAAATGCTGGTTTGCATTATGAAGGCACAAGGCTTTAAGAAAAAGTGAATATCGGATATTTTTCTTAAACCCCGTGCCTTTATTTAGTTATTTGTAATGGTACAACTTTATGATATGAGAGATGTCCTAATTTTAACTGGTAAAAACATGTTAGTTTATGATCTACATCAATCATATAAATTAAGTGATTTTTGATGGTGGTCTAAACTATGGACATTGCCCTTATGTGTGCACTTTATACATACACATAGATAATACATGTCCTATGTACTCAATTAATCATTAGAAAGTCTGTATTTTGAACAGGTGTGATCAGTTTTGAGTTTAAGATGCCAGGGTTTGCAAAAGTTGATTAATTGTTCCCCTGCAGGAACTTGACAGAATATTTTAACCTGTTGTACGACTTCTAAAAATTGCACTTATAAATTTGAACTCTGTTGAAATGAAAATGGCACCATAAATACATGACTGAGAATTTAAAATTCAACATGCATCAATTAGATCTGCTTTGCTTAAGACTTAAGATCATCCAAGATTGTGAAATATTTGGAGGCACTCCTTTTTTCCAGTTTCAATAAACATTGTACTTTCAGCATAAAGTGTTATTTTTATTTTCAGACATGAGTTTTACTTACAAATTGTTGAGGACTTCCTCCAGGGGGCACTGACAGTGACTCAAAGACATCAACTTATTAAAATGGCTTCCTTAATCGCACAAGTTGAGACCCCTTATCATAACAGTCAGAACATAAACCTTGAATCATACACAACATTTATCCCAGAGCCCATATTAAGGGATCTCCACAATAGTGATGACACCTCTGAGCTTAGATCTCTAGTCCAAGATGTGTGCAGTGAACATTCAAAACTTGGTGATCTTACATCATCACTTGCGTCATATAAGGTGCTACAAGAAGCGACGCTTGTGCCTAATTGGGGCGTGGAATATTATGACGTGCTTAGTGAGTGTGAAAGGGTACAATATACAATGGGTGTTGGTCCTGAAGGAATAACATTGTCAGATATGCAGCATAATATTATACAAAGGTATGTAATGTTATCCATTATTAACCTTTCAACATGTAAGTCGATCGTTATCTTCAGCATGTAGCTTCCTCCTTGCCTCCTCTTATTAAAGCATACTGTTTTAGAGTTTTGAACTAATAATAAATGAGACAAATATTTGTGCAATAGGTAGAATTTTGACAAAATCAGACAAGGGGTGTGTATTTGTATAAAAACTACTTAAAAACTGCTCAATTATGGGCGGAGGGTTGTTGGTCAAACCTAATTTCAAAGCCTCTTGCCTCATTTCCAGTGACATGCACAAGTTTATTAAATTGTTAAAGTCATTGATCTATCCCTACCAATGATTTCTGGAGACGTTCCAATGAAGTAATTAATTAGACACTTAATTAGCGATATGGAGAAAATAATATTAACAGTAGGTGATGTTATGTTTAGCTGCGTCTCAGAAAGTACTCTTCTCAAGGATTCACTTCCACTCTTTAAATTTAATATATTTCTGATCTGACACGCACATCCCAAGTATTACAGGCTCGTAGCCCCCCCCCCTCCCCCAGCCAAAGGTTCTTGGAATTAATTTAATACTGAACCCCCTTGGCAAAAGATTGTTATGGCATGTATCATGTATTCAGAATATATATCATATTATACTACATTTTCATGCCATTAATAATAGAAGTATTTATCATTCATAAAGCTACATTTGAGCTTGGTAAGATCATATCAGGAACTGAAGTAGTCAAAAAGAGTAAAAGGTCAATGTGACCTACTGATGCAGACTCAGGAGTAGTAATCAAAAAGCAAAAAGTTTCATCTGATAAGTGAAAGATGGATTGTTCCATTGTGTTCTATGAAACTGCTTTGTGCTTATTTCTTGTCTGTCATCCAAAGTTCATAAGTCCAAGCACAACTTTTTTTTCTTTTTTTCTGTTTGTAGCTTTGTTTTGTATTGTTCTTTTCTGCAATTCTGACCTGAACAGTTTTGACTCTTTTATTTTTATATGTGATGATAGGCGAGTCATTATTGGATAATTCTTGCATAAAGGTTGTTGTAAAATGAATGAATGGGGAAAAGAAGCTGAGGATGGTTGGGGAAGATTGAGTAAATAATCTGAAGGAGAATCTGAAGTTTTTGCCAGTGTTTGTTTAACAGAAAGTATATGAGCAACACTTAAAGATTCAAATTGGTCTAAATCCATTCAAATCAACCGTCACAATCAAGTTCATTAACTAAAAACATGTTGTGAAATGAGACATATTTGAAATATTTATTCAAGAACATTACAAATGTCAAGTATTGATTTTGTTTTATTTTTATACATGTCAAATTGCCAATGGCCATTCATGTTTAACAAACATTCACATTCTATCATCAATATCATAATCAATTTCTCAGTCAAATTAAAAGAGGTTTTCTGGCATATCTTTATAATTTAAAGTATTGACTGTCACTACATGTCTGTTTTCTGTATTCTTTGCTGATTCCATTCTTTTCAGCTTAATTTTGCATTTTTAGAGATGGTTGTGGTATTTCCTCAGCCATAAAACTTGTGAACAAAGCATATTGATTTCCAATACTTGATCTACATCACTTTCAATTCTTATTTGGATGCTTTCTTTGGATTTGAATGCCACACTTAGGTCATTTTGACCTCATAGCTCTGAATAATTTAGGCACAATTGTTTTTTTGTGTACGAGAATATATACAAATTCATTATTGGGACCTTTTATTTGATAAAGTCTTGTGACATTCACAAGTGGATATTTTACCTTCAATAAATCCATTTAAATGAACTTATCAGTACACATGCACTAAGCTAGTTGTATTATAAGTTACCAATTGGGATTTTAAATTTTGCTTAAAACATTTGTCAATTTGATGTCAAAATTCATTACTATCATCAACCTATCAAATTTTACTTTGTAACTACTTACTTCAATTTGAATATTAAGAATATATTTGAACCACGAATATATGAAATTAAGTGAAGGGCAAGGTTAATTGCGTTGTTTATATTAGTATTAAGATCAATAAAATTGACATTTTAGTGATAAATATTATTACCATCCAAATATAGATATAACATTGAACTCTACTGCACAATGTACTTTTAAGTACATTAATACCCACATTCATCCATCATCGCTTTCACTCTATTATCCTGTAATGTCTTTATCCTCTACTCACAATCTTACCCTTGGGGAGTAAGAGGGAAGATTGGGGGGGGGGGAGGGGCTGTACAGTCAGTTAGTGTCCCTGAAAACTTCTTTTGTCTTGAACTGGATTAAGAATTTATTCATTTTCATATTTCGAGAGAGTGGAGAGGCCAAAAACCTTGCATTGAAAAAAAATGCATTGATTATACCATAATTTCATATTTTGAATTTATGTAATATCCGTGGATTTAGCTATTGATTTTATTCTGTCCCTAGATACAGAAAATATGATCTAGGTTTCATATTGATTTTACGATTATTGAGTTCACCAGCTAGTTTAAGGTAATTGTGTCAATTTATTTCTTCACTTCAACTAGTTTATTGTCCTGAATATCAGGTCATTCCAGTATCTGAGATCTTTTATATGATATTTAGTAAATAATAAGTAAAGGAATCTTGAATAATTCTATATTTCAAAAGAAAGGTAATGATGGTTCATGTTTATAATTCTAAGAAGAAATGAAAGACATGTCCGAAACAAATTCTTTTCTTAATTACAATCAATGAAATATATTTTTATAATTGAAATGAATGAATTGTCAGTGTGTCGGATAAGCGGTCGTCATTCGGCTTTCGCCATTCGAACTTATGATTGGACATAAGTATGATGTTACTTTATTAATAACATTGAAGTGCACATCATACTGTCTGATCATAAGTTTGAATAATAGTTTGGCTTCAAATATTAATTGTATGAGTTATACGAGACCAATGTTAATGCTACCAGAGGGAATTGGACCTACATGCCTTACTATTTATACATGTTTTTTCTGTTTTGAGATGTATATTTCTTAGGTTTTTAAAGAAATCTACAAATCTTTTGTGATAAGTAATTTCTTAAGCATCCCATGGGTAGATATCATATATTTCCCTTTGAATAAACCCAGTATTCAAAACCACCTATATTATGAAATTATTCAGTCATTGCCATTTAGTTCTAATAGCTTTTACCAGGCACTTTGATTACTGGCCCAGCATCCAATCACAGCTGTTTAATCAATAGATTCTATTTAATAATGCAATCATTGGGGAGGCTTTACAGGGTTAACATCCAGGCATTTGTATTTATCAGGGACAGGGGTGTAGGGCAGATTTCGTCTTTAGAATGTGCTGGTTTTGATCCAAAGTTGCATATTCTTGAAAGAAAGATTGACCAGAATTGTTTTCTGTGGAATCTGGGATTCTGACAAACTTATCAGTAAATTCGTAACGAGTAAATTCAGGTTAGCTTTAACAGCTATATATAGGTATAGAGCTGGCTGCAGTATAACAGTTTTTTCTTAAAGTCTAAGTTCCAATTTTTACAGGAAAATAAACAAAACTTCAATGTTACAGTCCATTATATAGAACCTTTGAAGCCTTCCATGTCTATCATTCAATCTTAACCAGATCAACTTGTGTACTAAGATGCCAGGTGTATGTACTTGATTGACTCAAGATTTCAGAGGAGTTCATTAAATTTAGCATTGGTTGTCATGGCAACCAGGATGCTGCCCAGGTAAAAATCTGCAGGATCCTGTTGTGGAAATGTCAATGAATGGTCATATTTAGATAAGAATAAAGTTCATATTAAGTACTAAAGATAACAAGTGGAGTTACCAGAATCAAAAATAGGTGAGGCAAATTTAAATAGATGAGACAAAAGGCAAATTTAAGTAGGTGAGGCAAAGTTTGAGCCACATTTAAATATATACACAAATTGAAGAAGTTAGTGATTACAATAGCACGCCCATATGAGCTATAAATAGGTGAGGCAAATTTAAATAGGTGAGACAAGAGGCAAACTTAAGTAGGTGAGGCAAAGTTTGAGCCACATTTAAATATATACACAAATTGAACAAGTGAGTGATTACAATAGCACACCCATATGAGCTATAATTAAAGGAGGCAAATTTAAATAGATGAGACAAAAGGCAAATTTAAGTAGGTGAGGCAAAGTTTGAGCCACATTTAAATATATACACAAATTGAACAAGTGAGTGATAACAATAGCACACCCATATGAGCTATAATTAAAGGAGGCAAATTTAAATAGATGAGACAAAAGGCAAATTTAAGTAGGTGAGGCAAAGTTTGAGCCACATTTAAATATATACACAAATTGAACAAGTGAGTGATTACAATAGCACACCCATATGAGCTATAATTAAAGGAGGCAAATTTAAATAGGTGAGACAAAAGGCAAATTTAAGTAGGTGAGGCAAAGTTTGAGCCACATTTAAATATATACACAAATTGAACAAGTGAGTGATTACAATAGCACACCCATATGAGCTATAATTAAAGGAGGCAAATTTAAATAGATGAGACAAAAGGCAAATTTAAGTAGGTGAGGCAAAGTTTGAGCCACATTTAAATATATAAACAAATTGAACAAGTAAGTGATTACAATAGCACACCCATATGAGCTATAATTAAAGGAGGCAAATTTAAATAGGTGAGACAAAATTAAATGATTAAGACAAACTTATATTAGGAAGAATTGTTCATATGGGATTCATTTCAGCAATATGTTGGACTTTGTAGTAACATACCGTATGTACTTACCCTAAATGGGATTGGCATTATAAGCATGTGCCTGGATGCTCTATGCCCAGCTATTGAAAAGCTGACAAGGTCAAGAGTCCACATAATTAATGTCCTTGGGCTCATAGCATACAAAAGTTTGCCAGTAGAAATAAAAGTTATAAAATCACCTCGTATTCATTTCATATTTTAAAAAGGACTTTAGTTTTGATTTAAAAGCAATTTTACCTGATAATTGCTTTGTACTTAAAAATAATCGTACATGTTTTTATGGATTTTATTATGTGATTTCAGTATGGCTTATTCAGCAGTTCTCATGGCAACTTTCAACAATCGTAACTTCTGTCTGACAATACTTGATGACTTTGGGGAGAAAAGGACCATCTGCTTTAAGTTAATCAGTGATAAAGCATCAGTTGGCCTGTATAGGTAAGGTGATCTATTGTTAAGTCCCCATTTCCCCGATTTTCTCAAATGTCATTTTAGATAATGGTTCAAAAAAGCATAAAGTAGGGGTGGGTGCTGCTGTTGACTCATAATGGAGACAAACTCTCCAATCTGATTGGTATTTGACCATCTTTGCATTATGGGAGTTATTGTTGATTCTATGACTGCTTGATCACTTATGCATTATGGGATTTAACTTAATCGTTTGCATTCTTCTTGCAGGTGTGTGACAGAGAAGCATTCATTTTACAAAAGTGACACCATTAGAAATGAAGTGAATGATCAGTACTCTAGAGATCTCAAGGGCATAATTGTGTCAATGTTTGATGAACACACAAGCTTAGGTAAGACTATATCTTTGTGTAATATATTAGGGGAGCATGTCCAATTGTTAACATTGTAGATAAATGAAGTTTATATTAGAAGGAGATAAATTAATAAATTGATAGTGGGAGAACATTGATCAAAATTTCTGCAATGTTGTTCTTTTAGTAAACTACTCTAAACCTTTAGGTGGCATAGGATACTCTATAACTGTTATATAATATATAAAGCAGGCTAAATGTATAATGGTCTTCTAAGTTTGAAGTTTGAAAATGAAACTGGTAAACAAGTTTGGTTCTCAGCCTCTGATTGATCCTAACGGGATTCTAAATATTTTTAGTAAATGAAATGTTTATATTGCAGGTAAAAAATACATCTTTGACATCAAACGTACGTCTAGAGAGGTTTACGATCAGACACGTCGTCAGCTTCACGCACAAGGAATTCCTGATCTCAGACTCACAGACATTAAAGATGGCGCTGATCTTTCATCTGAAAACTGCTGCATTATATGTATGGACTCAAAAATCCAAATACGATTTTCTCCTTGTGGCCACACAAATTGTTGTTCTTCGTGTAGTAGTATGATATCACAGTGCCCTCTATGTAGAGCCGCAATAACTACAATGCAACATGTTTTAGACATTGACAGACATGGAAATGGAGATGGAAATACTTTGATAGAGCAACCGCATGATCTCAGATTTAAGCTTACATAGTGTGCTTGGTTCAAGGCTTAAATTCACAGAAGGCTGGCCCTGATTGTGTATATGCTTATTGATAATACAGATTCAGGGACCATAGATATTGAGGCTGGCCCTGAATAGTCATACTGTACTCCCACTAATATTTGACGTATTATATTTCTTGTGAACTATTGGAATTTTGCGAACTATTGGAATTTTGCGGCTATTATATTCTGCGAATTTTTAAAAACTTGCGATAAGCGTGAAATGTAGTAGCACGCAAAAATTACTGGGAGTACAGTATGTCATATACAATGTAAATACATGGACCTTAAAAGTGATTTTATTTTATATTGTATGAGCGATAATCAAAAAGAAGTGCAGTAAATGATCCTATAGGCCTCTATAAATAGTTCCGAAAGAGACTCAATTTTTAATTTTGAAAGTGCCATGTTAACCAAACAGTTTCTACTTTTATGAATCATATTAATCAAAAATGTTATGAAATATTGGTTCAGTAGTTTGATATTTAAGGATATGTTTTAAATTTGGGTTGTTTTTATTCAAAATGAATCCTAAACTGAGATTTATATTGGCCTAAAAGGGATGATGGTTCACCTTCAAAGAGAAGGATGCAAGGTCCCACAATTCAAAGAAGATCTCATCTGAGCCCTCTTTCCTACTTCCAATTGTCATTTTATTTTAATTTAGTAATCCAATAGAAGAAATTATAATTTTCAGAGTACATGCAATCAAACCACATACATTTTGAACAAAATATGAAAAATTGGATTTGTATTTGGCTCATTTTAATGTGAATTATGGGCTGTCTCACTCGTTTTTAAAGAAAATATACAATAGAGATCTACATGTGAGACTTGAGATATATATATGAAAAACATTTACTTATTGAGAGAGGTTGTAATTATTAATATTATGTTTCAAATGTGCATTTTATTTGTCTGATCTTTGACTATATCTTGCCTTTATATTGCACATAATGCAACTGACAATGCAATTTCAGAGGATATGGTTGTTATCTAGTTTTTTGTGATGTATATTCCAATGAAAACTACTTTTTATTATATAACTGTTACAAAAGACTATTGGAAACATATATACCTATTCTAGTTTTATTTTACCAAATATACAAATATTTAAAAAGTATGATTGTGTTGATGTTTTATACTGTTGGAAGGGTCATTTGTGGCATGCTTTTAAGAATGAACGAACGAATATATTTTCTATTTATTAATTCAGAAACTCAATCTCCTTGATTCTTAACACATATTTCAGTATTTAGAAGCAATAATTTAATTGAACATTTTCGGAACAATCTGATACATCGAATTCCAGTTTCCATATAAGATCATGTAGTATAGAAAAGATGGCAGGGTATGACATAGGAGTTCGAATATACTGACATCTATAAATTATGAATTTAAGTGTTTTATGCCAATATCGTTCGTGTCCAGTACTACAGCTTTACCAAGTATGAACAGAAGATATTCGTTCCTGGTTTGAATTGATTCAAACTTGCAATGTATCTTATTCTAGACCTCTCCACATGTAATCAATCGTACATGTCCCTATTTATAGGTGGTATCAGATTCAGCGAGCAGCCTTAACCTTTGAAAGTTCTTTCTTTGAATATTTTTGTCACCCATCATTCCTTGTCATGTCCATTTTCTTAAAGGGTGACGCATATCGTTTAGCAAATCGAACGCTCGTTTCTGGTGTTGCTCACCGTTTAGTATAAAAGGCCCGATCCCGGAATAATACTCAAGGGTTCACAGGTTCGAGATCGTTGTGTCAACACCTCTTACTGTTATATAGCATAAGTATATTATAGATCGTCACACACTTATAAAAGGGTGATTTTTATTTTGACAAATCAATTCCACATTTATGGATGAAGTTTCAGGATCTTCTATTTGTGTATAATAAGGAAAAATTGGCATCTAAATTTCCCCATAACGTAATAGCACACAGCTTGACATATGAAATATCCCTACAAATGAAACAAAGCAAGACAAACCGGTTTCTAATACAAGGATTTATATTGGCTGTTGTACATGTATTCTTTGAACGCAATCACTCTTTGGATAACGTTTTCAAAATCATTATAAACGGATTACTTTATCTCAAAGACAATTTCAATAAACTGGATTTTACAGAACTCCCCTTATTTCTTAAAATGGACTGATCCAGTTGATTCGCCTGGAGCCGCCATATTGTTTTTATACGGGATGCTAATCGGAACCCTTTAAATTGCCTATGGTACTTCATATGGGGTGAACGAATGATTTTTACAATATTAATGTATTCATTTGTTCTGTAAATGTGTTGACAGTGGTATCAGATTGCGTTTTTGAGAAAATTATATTTGAGATGGTAAAGAATATTTAGGTAGAAGTATATTGCTTGCAGTTAACAACTATATTACAACTGCACATTGCGCTAGGCAGCGACCTATTAACTACCTTCTGCATAGTACGAATTGAAAATGAAATGAAATAACAATTCCTCAACTATTTTTCTTGCGTCATTCTCTATCAAGCATCTCGAGAATTTACCAAAGGTACTCGTCAAAACTCCGACCGTCTTTCTCCTGCATAGCTATGGCGGCGTCTGCATCAGCACCGAAAAAATCAGTATTTTCACGAGTTAGTGTTGACGTGTCAAATGACACATATAACCAAGTGAACAATTTAAATTGTTTTGCGGCGTGTAAGGTGAAGTTCACGGTTGTCAAACCATCATTTCGAAAGTCTGGTTCTTTCTTGTTTAATATGTAGTGGACGTGGTTTTCAGGATTACCTTGATCTCGACTGTGCTTTAAAGTAGTATATCGACATTCGGTCCAGTTAATGCACTGCCGAAATGGAACATGTATGTGCAAGCATCTTATGAGAAGGTCGTTATCTTCGCCACCCCAGCCCCAGAAGCCGTTTGAGTATCCGTTGAGTTTTTTGTAAGTGTCTGGGGCTATGGCTACCACGCCGCCTGTCAGAGTATATGGAGGTTTTTTGTAGTTGTGTACGTCAATGTACGCGGCTAAATGTAACACGATTTTTTTCTGACAGGAGTATATCATCCTGTCATTTTCAGGAAAAATATCAACATCGTGGAATATAAAACATGTATAATTTATCCCCAACTCGGAAATGATTTTAAAGCCAGTGTTAAACAATGACGCTTTGTTGAAAATTGCTGGCTTATTTTGCTCCACGACTACTATTCTATATGAGAGCTTTTGTCTCTGCAGAAATGGATGCATATAGTTTAAGAACTGCTTCAAATGCTCTTCTCTGTCCCTATATGCAATGATGATGGCAATCTCATCTTCTGCTCCACAATTTGTTGGGCTCCACTGACCCCCAGCTGTCACATTATCGTTCTTTTTATAAATTTGTTCCCATGTTATTTTACTAGGGAATTCGATATTTTGTTGTCCAATTAGTTTTCGAAAGATACTACAATTAAAAGTTGACTCCTCAGATTTTCCTTTTTTGATGGTATTGGTATTCAATACCAATCGTTTGTCACCTTGATTTGGTACAGGCGTATTGTGAAAATAGAGTAGTATGCCAGTAAACGAAACGAAGACTACTATTTTAAAGCATGTTGTTGTTCTTACATTTTTTCTCATTTTATATTTAGCTTGGTAACAGTTAATAGTTCACTAGGATATGTAGCTTAGATACAAATACCCATAAAAGTCAAAAGGAATAAATCATAAACCACAACAACGTTTATTTACTAAGTACACTCCCCTCATTATGCTTGGCAACTACGTACCTCTTTGAATCATTGAATTAAGGTACTATCAGATCTAGAAGTAAGTTGTACTGAGTAATCTGAACAGCAAAATTGTTTCAATTTAAAAATACCTTGAGCTCATATCTTTTTTCTTTTATTCTTTATTTCTACCCACACTTGTGAGTATAAAATAGTACATATACATACAATGATAATACAGTTTAGTTTAATTCACTACCACCAATAATCTTCATCAATTTACTTAATTGCACAGAATATTTAATATTTGACAACAAACTTTAAAATTTTAACATATTCGGTTGTCTGATGAAATAGTTATCTAAAAGTATTTTTCTGTCATCTTCAAAAAGTTTACATTCTAAAATATAATGGTACTCATCTCCTAGTCTGCTACATTTGGTACACACTCTCTCTAACCTTGGTATTTTTATGTATCTCCCTGTTTCTATAGGACGATTATGATTTGAAGTTCTAAGTTTTGTTATATATAATCTAATGCTTATTGGTTGACATAAATAGGGTTCAAAAATAAATTTGTTCTTAATGTTACAATATGTAAAATATGAAGTTTTAGATTTGTCTAAGTCTGGTAGCCATTGCTGTAGGAATTGATTTTTTAGTTTCCTCTTCACCATATGCTTCAACGCATCCCTTGATATAAACTCTTGTCTATTCCAAATATATGAAAATCCAGTCATTTAAAATATTTTCTACTGTACTTAACCATGGTGAGCTGTATATATATATGTAATTGAAGCATAGCTTTATAAATGGAACTACTTGTTGCTTTACTTTGCATCAATTTACCCCAAACATTTACCATTCTTGTTTTAATGTGTATTTCCAAAGGGTAGCGCCCCAATTCACCATATATCATGAATGAGGGTGTAGTTGCTTTAACTCTGAGTATGTATTTACAAAATTTGAGGTGTAAGACTTCACAATTTTATATAGCCTTCGAAAATCCCCATATTTCACAGCCATAACACAAAATAGGTAATTGAACATCAATTGGTAAATTCATTTCTGTACACTTTCCTAATACTCTAACCACTCATTGTCATGTTTAGTTACAAGAGATTTTTAATTCATTCATTTTTCTATAAATATGGTTACCACTTTCATTATTTGGGAGAATATAAACATTTAATTCCCCGATTTCTGCACTTTGAATCAACAATTGATTACATATTTGTGGATCTTTTAGGAGATATCATAGTAAAGATTGTAAGGAAAACAATTACGCTTAGCTTGCAATTTTGTCACTCCCTATAGATCTGATCCTGCCTTTAAAAGCATGTTTATGTCTATCGATTTGAAAAATCGTTTTTGTCGTATATCTCCGAACTAGAGGAACAAAAATTCAGACAATGACTTATGCCAGGCTTTCAAATGCTATATACCCAATAACGATTTCCGGTTGCCAAACTTATTGAGGGGAGTGTAGTGTCAGAAGTAACGTGTTAAATTATTCAATGTTCATTTTACATTTGATCTGTATTGTAATTTTATTTGAATATCATATACATTTGTATTCGAAATAATGTTTAAAGAAGTGGTTTACAAAAATATACGTTATCCAAAGCACTGCCGTTGCTGGGTTTTTCAGAGGGCGTGGGGGAGGGTGAAATGAGGCAATTGTTTCCGATCATAAGTCTTTACAAATGCAATGTCATGGCATGCTAAATGATTGTTAACGGCCATAGATCAGCAAGGTTAAAAGAGGAAGATATATGTGGTTTCCCAGTATAACGCTCACTTTTGGCTTAAGGTGTTAACATAAGACAGGCTTCTGCACTTGATATAATGGCAAAGTATGAAACTTAATTAACAAGACTTAAATGATTAGAGACTCGTACGATTATGTAAATAACGCATTTCGTTATATACAGAATCATCAAACAAGCTTTGATGATTATCACACTTAAAGTGTGACAACTGTCACACTTGATTATTATTACCACCATGCCGGGGTAGTTCTAGGGGTTTTAGTGCGAGTTTAAAAGGCATTTATTTTACTATATCGACCTGAGCAATACGTGACGTCATAGTGGTGGTCGAGAATGCATTTAACGACCGGCAATTTTCCCCGGGAAACTAGATACCGTTCAGTGCGTAAGAATTTCTTGCTGTTTCAGTCCTGGTCGTTAACGGTGGTAATAATACTAATAACGTCATTTCTGCGGGCAATATAGTGAAATATTGGACCTTGGACCTTCGGCCATCGCTCCAATATTTCACAATATATCCTTCGGCCCTTGGTCCAATATTTCACTATATTGCCCTTTGAAATGATGTTATTGAACTATTGAATACGTTGACGTTCATAAAAACGCAACGCTATATATAGCGTCAGAGGAGTTGAACCGTAATATGTGCAACGTGTTTTTCATGACACTAATGGACAGATGACCTTCCCCTGGCGTTTCCAATGTTGAAGAGGTAAAGTTAAAATGTACCATATCAAATGTCATTCAAAACTATCAAGGGATTTGTTGAAAACCAATGAAAAAGTAGGTCAAATGGGGTCAAAAGTAGATCAAAGTAATGAAATGAAAAAACAACATGTAATGTCTTTTTACTCAAAAATAGAGGGGACACATGTCAAAATTGCCCGTTCCATTTTTCTAGTATATGTAAAACATGTAAACTATTGAACCTCTTTTTTCAAAAATAAACAAAACATTCCTGAGGTATCTGCTTTTTGCCTTATATAATAATTGTTAACAGATGTGCTACTATAATATAGTTCAATAAAAATTTATATAGTGCAACACAGGGAAATCAAATTATATTTTAGTGATTTTAGTTGTGCTGATATTCCTATGCCAGTATGCTATATTTTTACTAGCGTAAGGTTACTATTTTTACTGAAATGATTAGTTATTCCGTGTTAATGTTATCAAATTCAGTGCCACGAGTAAGGTCATTTGATGAAGTTGTTAACATACAATTAATCATCGTATATATTAATCTTCACATAGTCATAACCATGTCTTATTCGTAAATTGGTTCAGGAAAGCAAGTGTCTTTCATTTTCTCCTTGAAGAGTTTATCAAATTGCTCACTTTGTGCCACCGTGAACACGTTTTTCCAGTCATCTATCTTCCCTGGAAACAAGACAGAAAGGAGAAATAACATCAAGTTTGTACTATAGTAATAACCAAAAATTTCCTCGGTTAAGCTTGGTGTCTACAAAACTAAGACCTAATACCTACAAAACTAAGACCCCCCATGTAACAAAACTAAGACCCTGTTAAAAAACTAAGACCCCCCACGTAATAAAACTAAGACCCTGTTATAAAACTAAGACCCCCACGTAATAAAACTAAGACCCTGTTATAAAACTAAGACCCCCCACGTAATAAAACTAAGACCCTGTTATAAAACTAAGACCCCCCACGTAATATAACTAAGACCCTGTTATAAAACTAAGACCCCCACGTTATAAAACTAAGACCCTGTTATAAAACTAAGACCCCCCGCGTAATAAAACTAAGACCCTGTTATAAAACTAAGACCCCCACGTTATAAAACTAAGACCCTCTTATAAAACTAAGACCCCCCATGTAGTAAAACTAAGACCCTGTTATAAAACTAAGACCCCCCACGTTATAAAACTAAGACCCTGTTGCAATTAGTTCTACCTCGTTCTCAATACGTTCCAAAACAGTTCAACTCGTTCAAAAATGTCCATACTAGGATTGAAGTACAACAGTTCCGTAGTAGTACGTCAAACTCGTCTTAAGTACGTTGTCAATCGTTCTAATTGCATCTAACGTGACGACCACCAGAAAATTTTGAGCATGCTCTTATCCTACTATCACACCAAACTAGTTCTCACTACGTTCTTGGAAACGGGCTTCAACTGTGTACGAACGGACCGGACGTACTTAGAATTGTTTGGGGTCTATTTACAAACTTCATCGAACGTACTCGAACGGATAGGTCCTCTAGAACTTAGAATGTGCTCAAAATGTTCTCTGTTCTCTTGGTCGTCACGTTCTACAATTAGAACAAGTGACAACCTATTAACGACGAGCTGGACGTACTACGAACGGAACCGTCGTTCTTCAATCCTACTAGTGACGTTTTTACAACGAGTTGAACTGTCTGAGGACGCATTGAGAACGAGGTAGAACTAATTGCAAACGGGTAAAAACTGATTCAGAACGTATTTATCAACAAGTTAGCAAAAATATAGCTATCACACCAAGCAAGTTGCCACTGCGTTTTTCAAAACTGGTTCTAAACTGTGTGCGAACGGAATGAACGTAGCTACAACGTTGTACGGTCCGTTTACGAACTTCATGGAGTTTCCCGGACTGGGAATGTGATTTACAATTTTGAATCGATTCAAAATTCGATGGCGACCATACCATTCCTGAATCAGGTCATGATGACCTTCTAGACTAAGGGGCGCGTTATACGACGTTGCACACCGACGTGTTGCGACCTGAACGGACTGCGAATGAGATGGACGTATTGAAGACTGTTTATGAACGAAGTAGCTAATTATTTTAGACATATTTCCCGACCACAGCCAGATTGAGCCCGTTTTACGACGTTTTCGTAGGACTGGCAAGAACGGGTAAGAACTAGTTTGGTGCGATAGGGGGTAAGTTCTGGAGGATCTACCCGTTCGAGTAAGTATGAAGTTTGCAAAAAGCCCCAAACGGTTCTTAGTACATGTACGTCTTAACCGTTCATAAACGTCAGGAATCGGCTTCTGATTGTACTCTAGTACTCAATTGTTCCCGACATGGTTCATTATTCCAAAATATTCTCTACGATGCATCAGAAAGGGGTAGGAATCGTCATACTACCCATACATGTATTTTAAATTGACCAAGCATACCTTTTCTCATATGAGGGGCCGCCCCCTTTCCAAGAACT